GGCTGAGAGCACCTCGTGCCTTCCTTGGGGAGCAGGGGGGGGGCCTGGCCCCATGGGCACCCCGGTGTTTTTTTTTTTTGGGGTGGGGGAGGTCCAGGAGCTGGTCCTGCACCCACAGGGCACCACAGCTGCTGGGGGGGGGGCAGGAGCCGGCCCCTCCCTGCTCTCCCCCAGCCCCACAACCAGGTTGAACTCTAAAGCAATAGCCCCCATCCCCAGATCGGGGGGGGGCACAGGGCCACAAAGCCCCCCCAGTGGGGTGGATGGCACCCCCCCAACCGGACTGAAAACACTTGTGACTTTTTTTTTTTTTTTAATTCAAATGGTTTATTTATACAGATATCTAATAAAAACAAAGCTGAGGCCACCCCAGCTCACATGGGGGGGGGGCTTAGGGGGGGGTTAGGAGCGGGGATGTGATGCCCAGGGGGTACCAGCACCCCCAAAATAGGCACCCAGGGGGTCTCCTTGCCCCCCTGCTGTTATAAAAACATTTAATTTGGGTGTAAAAACAGCATTTTGGGTGCCAGGTGTCACCATGGCTGGGCAAGGGGCTCCAGTACCCCCCCCCACGACCCCACAGGACCCCCACCCCAGTGGCTCAGGGCTCTGCGCCCCCCCAGCCCCATCAGCTCGTCCCGGGCTCCTCCTCGTCATCCTCCAGCAGGAATTCCTGGATCTGCTTCCTTCATCCGTGCCCTGCGAGGGACCGACCCTATGTGGGGGCCCTGCAGCCCCCCCGGGAAGGTGGGGAACCCCCTCCCCATCCATCCATCCCCTACCTGCAGCTCCTGTGCTGGGCTTCGGTGCGCACGTAGGACGGCAGCGTGGCGGGGGGGCCCTGTGGGACAGCAGGACGATGGGGACAGGAGCCCTGTCCCCAATTTACCCCATCCCCAATGCGCCCCCCCGGGTCCAGGGGGGGTCACCCCTGATGCCTCACCATTTCCTTGAAGGTGAGGCGGCAGCTGTAGCACAGCAGGGGGATGAAGGCAGCTCTGCTGTCAGCCCTGCGGGGAGAGGGGTGGTGAGCGGGGACGGTGGCCCCGGCACCAGCACCGTGTCCCCAGTGCCACCACCATGTCCCCAGTGCCACCACCGTGTCCCCAACCCCGGCACCGTGCCCCCACCACTGGCACAGCGTCCCCAAACTCGCACTTACCCATCCCCTGTCTCCTCCGTCACCAGCGTGGGCTCCAGGGCCAGCTCCTCCTCTGCCAGAGAGCCACATGGGGACGTGGTCACACACTCGGGGTGCGAGGCCACCCCCCAAGTGTGTCCCCAAAAGCCCCTCACTCACCCCCATCGATGTCCATGGCGCAGAGGCAGAGCAGACAGCGCTGCAGCTCGCTGCTCGCCTCGGCGGGGGCTGCGCTCAGCTTCTCGCCTGTCCTGTGGCCATACAGAATGGGTGAGGGGGGGCACCCTGCCTGTGTGTGTGTGTCCCCCCCCCACCCTAGGGTGCTGTACCTGTAGACGGTGCTGATGGTGGACGGGAAATCCGCCTGCAGCCCCAGGAGGAAGCTCTCCATCAGGCGGTGGATGCTGGTTTTCTCCCGGCGCTGGGCGAAGGGAACGGAGAGCGCACTGGGTGGGATTTTGGGGATGGAGGGGGGGGATCCCACAAATCAGCCCCCTTTGCCTGCCCTATAATGCCCGGCTGGGGGTCTCAGCACCCTACCTTGGTGCTGAGGGGCGGCGTGATGACGGTGGGGACGCCGAAGAAGTGGTTGTAGAAGGCGATCTCCTTGGCCATGTACTCCCGCATGGGTCGCACCAGCGTCACGTCGCCGTGGCGGCTGTCCACGAAACCCTACAAGAAGGTGGGGGGGTGCCAAGGGGCTGCCACCAAGCCAGGGACCCCCCCCAGGTGGCCGAGCAGCCCCCTGCGGGCTGTGCTCACCGTATCCACAGCGAGGAAAGCGCCCCGGCCCAGCGCCAGGTTGGTGAGGAGCTTGACGGCCACGCGGGTGCAGCTCTCGCCCGTCATCACCTTGGGGTAGCCCCGCGTGCGGGCGGTGTGCAGGATGAGGTGGCTCCCTGGGGACACGGTGACACCGGCTCAGCCCCGCGGGTGCCACCAGCCCATTAGGGCAGGAGGAAGCCCCCTCCCTCCCCTCCTCACCGCAGCATCTGCAGCAGCTCCTCCTTGGCCGTCAGCGTCTCCGCCGCCTCGAAGAGCCGCAGCAGCTCTGCCGTGAGGGCGGCGGGGGGCAGGCGGGGGGCTGCCGGGTGCCCCCCGGGGTCGTGCTGGGTGCTGGACCCCACAGATGAGGTGTCCCCGTCCCCGTCGGCCGCCTCCTGCCTCTGCTGCTGGATGAAGCCCTCCACGGCCTCCTTGTAGGAGGGACAGGGCTCGCCCGCCGCCCCCGCTCCTCGCCGCAGGACCGAGCCGGGCAGCTCCAAGGCCTGCGGGTAGGGATGGGGGGCGTTGGGTGGAGGCGGGCATGTCCCCCCCTCATTGTCCCCATTTTGTGTCCCCTCTGGTTCCCAGCATGTCCCTACCTGCTCCAGCGAGGCCAAGTAATAGGGGAAGCCGGTCTCCTGCAGCAGGGCCTCCATCCGGGCCAGGTTCTGCTCCCGCTGTGCCGGGCTCTGCCCGCACACCGCTCCCTCTGCGGGCACACCAGGCGCGGGTGGGCAACGGGGGCACCCCCACGGGGGGGCACAACCCCACAACGGGGACAGGGACAGGGATGGGACCGTGTCTTACCATCGATGTGGATGAGGCCAGGCACAAAGCGCAGCCTCTTGGCCGTCTCGCGGCTCAGCCCCTGGCACGGCAGTGGGGTCAGCGGGCTGCCCTGCGCCCCCTGGCCCCCCACCCCAAGCCCCCCACCCCAAGCCCCCCACCCCGGCCCCGTTCTCACCTCCTGCACCTGCCGTAGCATGGCGCTGGATGCCGGCCCTCCCGACAGCGCCAGCAGCACCTGCGGGGACAAAAGGGACAGTCACCAGGCCTGGGGGGGCCCCCCGTTGTGTCCCTCCCGTGTCCCCCCCCCGCCCCGTACCTTCTCGCCGGGGAAGATGACGCGGTTCTTGCCCAGCATGGCGCGGAACTTGTGCACGAAGTACTCGCGGAAACAGGTGCTGCGGGGACAGTGTGGCACGGCCCTGAGCACCCCTGTCCCCAAGCCCCAAAGTCCCCAGACCCTGTGTCCCCAAGTCCTAATGTCCCCAGACCCCATATCTGTGAGCCCCGAAGTCCCCCAGACCCCATGTCTCCAAGCCTGATGTCCCCAAGCCTGATGACCCCCAGACCCAATGTCCCTGAGCCCTGATGTCCCCAGTCCCCATGTCTCCATACCCAGGTGTCCCCTGGTCCCCATGTCCCCAGACCCCATGTCTTCGAGCCCCATGTCCCTTAAGCCCTGATGTCCCCAGATCCCATGTCCCCCCGATCCCTGGTCCCCATGTCCCCAAGCCCAGTGTCCTCATACCCCGTGTCCCTGAGCCCTGATGACCCCAGACCCCATGTCCCTGGTCCCCATGTCTCCGAGCCCAAATGTCCCCTGGTCCCCATATCCCCAGACCCCACGTCCCCGGTCCTCATGTCCCCCGTCCCAATGACCCCAATCCCCAATGTCCCCAGCCCCCTGGTTCCCAGTCCAAGTGTCCCCTGTCCCTATGTCCCCGGTCCCCTCACCGGCAGAACCCATCCCCGACGCGGATGACGACGGCAGCAGTGTTCTCCCCACACTTCACACATGGCCGCGGCTGCCTGTGGGACACGGGGCTGGTACTGGGGGGGTACAGGGGGCAGCGACCCGGGCCCCTGGCACCAGGACCGGGAATGGGAACGGGACTGGGGCTGGGAACGGGGTGGGGACCGGGCCAGGGACTGGGAATGGGTATGGGATCGGGACTGGGACTGGGGTGGGGACTGGGACTGGGAACGGGACTGGGACTGGGAACAGGGTGGGGACTGGGACCGGGAATGGGTGTGGGATCGGGACCGGGACCGGGGTGGGGACTGGGACCGGGAACAGGGCAGGGACTGAGAATGGGAACGGGACTGGGAATAGGGACCGGGACCGGGAATAGGGACCGGGACCGGGAACAGGGCAGGGACTGGGAATGGGAATGGGACTGGGACTGGAAATGGGGTGGGGACCGGGACTGGGACCGGGACTGGGAATGGGTATGGGATTGGGACCGGGACCAGGACCGGGGTGGGGACTGGGACCGGGAACAGGGCAGGGACTGGGAACGGGACCGGGACCGGGAATAGGGACCGGGAACAGGGCAGGGACTGGGAATGGGGTGGGGACCAGGACTGGGACCGGGACTGGGAATGGGTATAGAATTGGGATTGGGACCGGGACTGGGACCAGGGTGGGGACTGGGACTAGGACTGGGACCGGGAACAGGGCAGGGACTGGGAACGGGACCGGGAATAGGGACCGGGACCAGGAACGGGACCGGGAACGGGACCGGGAACAGAACCAGGACTGGGAACAGGACAGGGACCGGGACCGGGTACGGGATCGGGGCCGGGAATGGAACCGAGAACGAGATCAGGACCGGGAACGGGACTGGGAACGGGAATGGGAACGGGATCAGGATCAGGACCAGGAACAGGGTGGGGACCGGGACCGGGTATGGGACAGGGACCAGGACCGGGAATGGGAACGGGATTGGGACCGGGACCGGGTACGGGACTGGGAACGGGTACGGGACAGGGATCGGGACCGGGACCGGGTATGGGTACGGGTATGGGTACGGGTATGGGTACGGGACCGGGTATGGGACCGGGACCGGTTCCGCAGCCGCCCCCGTCCCGCTGCCCCCCACCTGCACACCACAGCAGGACGGCGCCGAGCCGGTCCCAATCCCGGTCCCGCTCCCACGGCGCACTCCCCACACCCTCCGTTCGCCTCACACATGGCTCCCCTCCCCTCCCCTCCCCTTCCTTTCCCCTTCCCTTTTCCCCTTCCCCTCCCTTCCCCTTCCCCTCCCGGCCCCTTCCCGTTGCTATGCGGTGACGTCACGCGGCCGCCATGTTCCGCAGCCTGCTGGTGGCGGCGGCGCAGCGGCCCCCGGCCCCCACCCCCCCTCCCGGCCCCCCCCGGGCTCCGCCGCCCCCGACCCCAAGCCCGACCCCAACCCGGTGGCTCCGCTCCCCGGTGGTCCCGAGGCTCTGGAGGCTCAGTTCAGCTGCCCCATCTGCCTCGAGGTCTTCCACCGAGCCGTCGGCATCGCGGGATGCGGACACACGTGAGGAGGGGGGAACGGGGGTCGGGGGGGGGGGGGGACGGGGGGATTGGGGGGGACCGGGGGTATGGGGATTAGGGGGGACCGGGAGGATTAGGGGAGATCGGGGGTAATGGGGGGACTTACCCATCCCATCCCATATCCCCATCCCATCCCCATCCCATATCCCTATCCCCTCCCTATCCCATATCCCCATCCCATATCCCTATCCCCATCCCATATCCCCATCCCATATCCCATATCCCTATCCCATATCCCCATCCCATATCCCATATCCCCATCCCATATCCCTATCCCCTCCCCATCCCATATCCCTATCCCCATCCCATATCCCCATCCCATCCCCATCCCATATCCCCATCCCATATCCCCATCCCATATCCCCATCCCCTTCCCCATCCCCATCCCATATCCCCATCCCCATCCCATATCCCCATCCCATATCCCCATCCCCATCCCATCCCATCCCATTGTGCTGCTGTAGGGCAGGAGGGCTTGGGACACTGCGACAGGGATCTGGGGGCACCCAACGGGGATATGGGGTCACCCAACAGGGGTCTGGGGGCACCCATCACCGCAGCACACCCCTGACACCACCTCTGTGCCCTCCTCCAGCTGCTTTCTGGGCCACCCCGGCCACACATCGAGGACATGGCTTTGCTTGATGCCACATCCTGGTGTCACCCATCCTCCTCCTCAGTCCTTTTGGGGTTAGGGAGCTCAAGAAAGGGACGCCCCACTGCAATAACCCCCTAAACACACTGTGGGTGGCCCTAAATGTGTCCTCTGGAGCTCCTGGGATCCCAATCTGCCAGCCTGGGCAGTTCCTCCCCATGCAGCTACTCCTCGCTGGGTTTTGGGGTTCCCCTGAGGCGTGTAGGAATCCTTGGGAGCCCCAAACCCGCCCTGCCCCGGTTCTGGGGTCTCACTCCCTGCTCACCCCATGCCCTCCAGGTTCTGCGGGGAGTGCCTGCAGCCCTGCCTCCAGGTGCCGTCCCCGCTCTGCCCGCTGTGCCGCACGCCGTTCGACCCCAAAAAGGTGGAGAAGGCATCGGGGGTGGAGAAGCAGCTCTCGTCCTACAAGGCCCCCTGCAGAGGCTGCAGCAAAAAGGTAATGGGGAGAGCGGGGCTGCCTGCCCCCGTCCTGGGCTCAGCACGGCCCCAAATTGCCCTGCAAGACCACGGGGAGAGGGCTGCTGCCCCCCGAGGTGAGCGGGGCTGTGATTTGTGGGGTTTTCCTGCACGCTGAGGTTTCCCTGCAGTGCAGGAGAGGCCGAGGATAAGGATTTGGGTTTTGCTCGAGGTGCTGGGATCCCAGCAGCTGGGGCCGGCTGTAGGGCCGTGATTCACGGCGTGGCTCCGCGGGCTGGGTTTTTGCCCTTCTCTGCCTCCTCTGCTTGGGGGATTTTCCTGGAACTGCCTGGCTGGGGCCCAGAAACCTTCCCCTGGGGTGGTGCCGGAGCAGTTTGGGGTTGGCGCCTGTCAGCAGTTCCTCTTTTGGGAAGAACAGAGCTAACGCTGCAATAACGCATTTTTTTTTTGGTGTATGAACCCTGGGGACTCGTGCAGGGAGTGTGCGACCCCAAATCTTCCTGTCCTGCAAGCAAGGAGGGGCTGGGCAGCATTTCCACGCTGGTGGGGGTCGTCCTCTGCAGACCAGAGTTGCTCTGATGTTGGTTGGCCAAAATGCAGCCAAAATGTGGCCAAAATGTGGCCAAAACGCTCTGGTTTGGGGGAGCGGAGGCTCTGGTGCTGTGCCTGGCAGGGGGAGGTGTTCCTATAACCCCTGAGAACGTTTCTTCTCTCCTATTTCTCCAGGTGACCCTGGCCAAAATGCGCTCTCACGTCTCGTCCTGCGCCAAGGTGCAGGAGCAGATGGCCAACTGCCCCAAATTCGTCCCCGTTGTCCCCACGTCCCAGCCCATCCCCAGGTACCATCGTAGGGAGGCGCAAACTGCACTGGGCATTCCCCCCCATCCTCTCTAGAAACCCTAAAACCCAAGCGTGGGCTGGGGTGGGACTGGTCTGGCTTCTCCCATGGGCAAGGGGGGACGCAGCAGGAGGGGAGCAGCATCGGGGGGGGCTGGGGGAGGTTGGATGGGGTCGATCCCGGCCCTTGGCAGGGCTCTGAGCTCGTCCTCGCTCCCCCCAGCAACATTCCCAACCGCTCCACCTTCGTGTGCCCGTACTGCGGGGCCCGCAACCTGGACCAGCAGGAGCTGGTGAAGCACTGCATGGAGAACCACCGCAACGACCCCAACAAAGTGGTGAGCGGGGCTGGGGAAAAAAGGGGTTGGGGGGGAAACCCCTGGGAATCCAAATCCACCGGGACAGATCTGCCTCCTGCCCCTGCTGCTGGAGGGAAGGCACAGCCGGGTTTCGAGCTGGCTGAGTTGGTTTGAAATCTTTAAATCTTTTTTTTTTTTGATGGGATGAACCAGCTCTGGGGAGCTCGCAGCTCCGGGGTCGTGCTCCTATTCCTGCATTTAACCTAAAAGCAGCCTGGCCACGCACCCAAGGCTTTGTGCACGCGTTGTGCCCGCACCGAGAAGCACCCCGGGGGGAATTGGAGGTGGCTCGGTGCCCACGGGTCACCCTTCTCCTGTCCCTGCCCTCCGCAGGTGTGCCCGGTGTGCTCGGCCATGCCCTGGGGGGACCCCAGCTACAAGAGCGCCAATTTCCTCCAGCACCTCCTCCACAGGCACAAGTTCTCCTACGACACCTTCGTGGTGAGTATGGCTGCGAGGAGGAGCAGCCGCCTTCCCCGCGTCCCACACACCTCCCCTAAAGCCCGGGAGAGCTCCCGGGTGCACAAGCTGCTCGCTAGCACACACAGACCCAAAAAAAAAACATCCCAGGAGGAGCAGAGAAATGTTCTCGCTCTCTCTAAAGATGTTTTTTTTTTTTCCATGTGCTCTGGTAAGCTCTTTCCCCAAGGAACTGTAACACAAAAGCCCTTTTCTTCGAGGCTTCACGTGGGGGGACACGAGGAAGAGGGGGGCAGGGGTCGCCCTCTGGGGGGTGCAGCCCCTCTGTGTGTGGTCGGGGTGCGACCCTGCAGCCTCGCGGGGCCCAGCGGGTGGTTTTCGTAGCCTCCTGGATTTCGTAGATAAGATTTCAGAAAAAGGAACCTCTGACTGTTTACAGAGAAGTATCCACAGCCCAGGAAGTGATTAATGCCGTGTAACCTGCCTGTGGCTCTGTGGAGAGCTCTGCCTTTGGCCCTGGTTTCTCAGACAGGCTCCTTCGATCCCTGTCTGAGAGCAGGGGCGATGTCAGGAGGTTTCACCCAGGCAGGAGAGGGACTGGGGCACAAATACGGGGTACCCCAAACAGCGTGGTGTTCCGGGACCTTGCAGCCCTGTCCTCCAGCCTGCAGCTCCTCACCAACCCTTATTTTTTTCAGGACTACAACATCGACGAGGAGGCGGCACTGCAGGCTGCTCTGGCTCTGTCTCTCTCCGAGAACTGAGGGCTGCCGCGGAGCTTCTCTTCGCTTCGGCCCCCTCCTCACGCCCCTTTTGCACACTCGACCTTCCCGCTGGGGCAGGCACGGGGCTCGTGGCCCCCTGGGACCCACCACCTCTCTTCCCTCTTCTCTCCGGGCTGATCCCACCTCCGGGAAGAAGGTGGAGACCCCTCGGCCTCACGGCGGGGCGAGCGGAGACGTCGCTGCCGGGAGCAGAGAGGCGGCCGTGCCGAAGGGCTGGGATCCTTCCTCGTGTCCGTGCCCGGAGCATACGCACCTGTACCCAGAGCTATTTATCAGTAGATGCTTTTTGGCACCGTTCGTCTTCATGCTCTTTGTCGCAGTTCGATAGGCAGGTAAAAAAAAAAAAAAACAAAAAAACGACACCAAACGAGGCGTTTCGTGCAGAAATGCCCCGGTTCTGAACCACGCCCAGGCCACGGCCCTTTCTGAAAAGGAAGAAGACAGCACGGAGCGGTTTGGGTTTTTTTATAAACCCTGCGAGGTGTTTCTGGAGCCGTCGGTCTGTCCTGTCCCCCACGCTGCAGACAGGAGGGAGCTGCCTCATTTTCCTGCAGCCCGGAGCAAGACTCTTGCCCTCGTGTGCCCCGTGAGAGCAGCGGGATCGGGGCTGTCCCGACAGCCCAGGGGAGCTCCCCAAACTCCCACCCTCCTGGTTTTGTACCGCCTCTTGCCCTTGCGTTTTTCTATACGAACTGGCAGGCTGCCTTTTCCACGTTTTGTAGAGCGGGAGCAGGAGCTCTTTACTCTTTACGCTGCAATATCCGTCGCCGGGGACGAGAGTATTTTTATGGAACGTTATTAAGAAAGTCTATTTTTTAAGAAAAAAAAAAAAAAAAAGACTAAAAACGAAAACCAAACGCTCTGTGGATTGGGAACCGGGTGGGAGGGAGGAGCTGGACCACGGCGAGCGTGCACATTTCCTCCTCCATCACCTCCGGGCTGTCCCCTTCTGCGCTCAGCTTCCCTGCTGGAGGTGTCAGCGCCTCGTCGCTCAGCCCCACGGCTCCTAGATGGGAAGAGGAGCGGGCAGCAGCGTGCTGGGAGCTGCCTGGTGGAGGACCAGCTCTCCTCTTTGGGTTCTCCGAGAGCTTCTTGCATGGCTGTGGTCCCCGAGCTGCTACCTCCTGGCTGGGCTCTGCGGGATCTCGCCGTGCTCGGCGGCTGGAGCAGCTTCTCCGAGCTGGCTCCTGGCACTGCTCCGGGCTCTGAGTGCTGGCGCAAGGCTGGGGGCTGGATTTCCTTCCTCTCTCTGTGCCCGCTGATCTCTCAGACGCTTGTAATTAAACATGAAACGCTGCTGGAGAGCCAGGACCAAGGGGTTCGTCCCGCTGGGCTCACACAAACTGCTGGGAATCGCCCGAGTTGGATTTTTTTTTCCTCCAAAATTGCAGCGCTGCTGGAAGCCCGTGGCCACAGAGATGGAGCGTGGCAGGAAAGGATTTCACCCAGCAGCTTCCAGCCCCTGCAGCAGCAGCACAAACCCTTGCAGGCAGGGCTGCTCTGAGGGATGCGCCGTGGTGTCCCCGTGCCAAACGTGGCAGTCCCCGTGCGGTGCCCAGGCACCCTGCTGCCCTTTTGGGGTGGCACCGAGGGGACCGAGGCTCACGGGGACTTGCCCATAAGGCTGGGCAGTGCTCAGGAGGGCAGCAGCCCCCCACCCCGTGCGCTGAAGGGATGCTTCAGGGACCCCAAGGTGCCCGTTTGGGGCTGTGCCCCCGTGTCCTAAAGGTCGGGGTGCTGCTGCTGCTGTGCCCTGGGGCTGTGGGGTGCCCGTGCCGTTGGGGTACCCTGGGTTCTGCTGTCCCCATCCCTGCTCAAAGCATCCCTTTGTGGTTTATCCGAGTCCTGGCTCCCTCCAGCTCTGCTCTAGCAATACTGGCTTTTTCCTACAAGTAGTACCGAGTGTTTTGGGGTCCGTGGGGTCCCTTTGGGGCAGGCACGGACAGCGTCTGTTCCCCTGGCAGAGGGCAGGGAGGAACGGGGGCTTCCCTTCCCAGCACCTGCCCAGCCTGGGGGCTTCCCCTGCTCCCAGTGGGACGGAGCAGGGGGATCTGGAAGGGACCCAGCTGCATTTCCCCGTCCCCTTTTTTTGGCTGGGACTCTCAGGTTAGAGGGCTCTGGCCCGTGCCGCTCTGGAGGATCTGGGGCAGCACCGTGACCGCCTCCATCTCCCTCCTCCTCTTCCTTTTTGCCCCAAAAATGTCAGAGCAGGGGCAGCAGCGGCTGCTTTCCTAAAGCACTTTAAGGCCGTGCAGGCAGCTCCTGCCTCTCGCCCCCTTGGCATGGGGTCGGGTCCGGCCGTGCTCACAGTGCTCCCCCCGACTTTTTGCATCAGGATTAGGACTTTTACTGGGACACACCGTTTTGTTTTTTTTTTTTGAAGAAGAAAAATAATTGACGATGTATTTGTAGCAAGCCATTTTTCTCAATAAAGGCAGTTTCATCCACGGGTGCTCTGGGTGCGTGGGGCCGCTGGGACGGGGCTGGGGGTGCGCGCCACCGAGGTCCCTTCTGGGGGCTGCTCCCTCCGTTTTTATGGCCCCATCCCCTGCCTCATTAAGTGTTGCTGTTAATTACGGGGCTTGGCGATGCCATTACATGTCCCTACCGTGCTCGGTGCTGGCAGCGGGTCCTGGAGCAGGCAGGAGGTGACGTCCCCATTGCTGGCACCGTCCCCAAAGCCCCGCTGGGCGCAGGCCAGGGCAGTGCCGCGGGTGTCCCTGCTCTGGGTGTCCCGGGGGGGGGTCCTGGCTCTGCGCCCCCGCCAGCCAGCCGGGGTTCCCCAGGGCTGCAGCACGGCCCGGTGCCTCTGCCCAGTTGCTTCTTCCAACCCGGGCACCGGCTGCGTGCAGCCCTACAAGGGCTCACCCCATGCCCTGCTCGGGGCAGAGGTGTTGCTGCAACTCCTGGATGCAGGGGAGACCCCCCCCAGGTGAGCCCCGAGGGTCATTGGGGTGGCCAAGGAGGGAGCTGGACCCGGGGACTGCTCCCTGATGGGGGTGGGTTTGGGGTTTGAGCCACGCACTGGGTTTCCTGGGGGTGCTGGGGGTTAAACTGGGGTGAACTGGTCCTCGGAGAGGTGTTTGTGGGTGCCCACAAACCAAAGCTGTGCCCTAACCCAAGGGCAACACCCAGGGGGATGCTGTGGGCGGTGGGATCCCATCCAGGGATGTGTAGGGTGGCCGTGCCAGGGTGGGGGACGGGGCTGTCCCCACCACGGTCATCGTGCTGGTGGCCAAGGCCAGCCCTCGGGCAGCGGTTGGCGCCGGGGCTCCCCGGGGGGCTGCCCATGCTAATGAGCCCCGGGGGCCTCGTGGCACCTGCTGGCACCCGCGGGGACACGGCGGGGGACACGACGGGGACACCGAGCTCGCCTGCTGACCCGGCCATGCCCCGTTCCTTCCTGGTGAAGAAGAAGCCCCCCAGCACCCGCGGCCCCAACTACGGCCAGCTCCACGCCCGTGGTGAGGCTGCCCCGGGGACCCCAGATCCGAATTGGTGCCTTGGGGGGGGGGAATTCCCAGGGCTGGGGGTGTGGGACCCTCCCCGCCATCACATCCCACCCGCATGGGGGTCCCCGTGCTAATTTGGGGGGGACTGGAGGTGGTTGCAAGGTGCCACGGTGCCCCAGGGGATGCGCAGATTTTTGGTGCCTCCAGCCCCAGATGTGCTGGGGGGGGGGGGCTGTGGCATCCCCTTTCCCTTTTTGTTTTTTTTTTTTTGGGGGGAAGGACCATTTCTGCCCAGTTTTGCAGTACATGGGGGTGGGGGGTAACAACTAGGGGGGGACAACTTGGTGAGGACAAGCCCCAAGCCAAAGGCAACCCTGGGGGGGGATCTGGTGACCGGGACAGCCCCCCCTCCCCCATTTACCCCTCGCTTTCCCCCCCCAGAACCTGATGGCTCGTGCTCCTCCTGCTCCACACCCCCCCTGCCGGACCACGACCCCCTCCTCGCCCGCCTCTCCCTCCCGCCGCCCCCCTCCACCAAGAGCCCCCCGGACCCCGCAGGCACCCGCAGCCCGGGCACCCCCTTGAAGGACAACCAGACCCTCAACCGGCTGGGGGGGGCAGCCGAGCTGGGGGTCCCCAAGCCCTGCTGCCCCTTCCCGGCCCCCCCAAGGCGCTGGTTCAGCTGCGGGCGCTGCGCCAGGGCGTACGGCAGCCTGGGGGCCCTGAAGCTGCACATCCGCACCCACACCCTGCCCTGCGTCTGCAACCTCTGTGGCAAAGCCTTCTCCCGGCCCTGGCTGCTTCAGGGCCACCTCCGCACCCACACAGGTAAGGATGACCCCCCCCCGGTGCTCACTGCTTCATCCACCCCCCCTTTTTCCAGCCCCCTGCCTCAGTTTCCCCTTGCGCACAAAGCTCTCCAGTTGCGGGCACCCACCCAGCGTCCCCATGCAGCACCCTGGGGCTGCGCAGGGGGATTTGGGGTGGGATGGGGGTCCCTAAACACGTGTCCTTCCCCCCCCCCCAGGGGAGAAGCCCTACGCCTGTCCCCACTGCGGCCGTGCCTTCGCCGACCGCTCCAACCTCCGTGCCCACCTGGGGACCCATTCGGACACCAAGCGGTACCGGTGCCGTGCCTGCGCCAGGACCTTCTCCCGCATGGCACTGCTGGCACGGCACCAGGACGGGGGGTGCTGGGGGGCATCCTGAGCCCCCCCTAACCCCGGAGAGGGCCGTGGGCACTGTGCCGTGCCGTGCCACACCACGCCACACCAACACAATGCCCCAAGGAAGGACTGGAGAGCACCACGGATGTCTCCTACGGGTCACCAAAGCCGCCTTCAGCTCCCCAACGGCTCCACCGCGGCCCCCAGGGCTGGAGGAATCTCTTGGTTGTGCCCCCCCCCCCCCATGCTGTGGGCACCAGGGAGGGTTTTGGGGTTTCGTCTGCAGTCATTAAAAGCGGAGCTGGGTGCTGCGGGTGTGAGTTTCGAGGCTGTCCCTGATCGCTGCCCGGCTGGCATCGTGTCCCACCAGCACCACAGCACCCCCCAGGGACCCCAAAATTATGGGGACCACGGTGTCCCCATAAATGTGTCCCTGCCTGGCCTCGTGCCCCAAAGTCAGGGACTCGGTGGCTTTTTGGGGTGGGGTCTGTGCTGTGGAAGGGTGGGGGCCAAGCCCAGCAGCACCCCTTGGACAGTTTTTGGATGAAAGCCCTAAAAATGGGAGCAGGGAGGTTGTATTTTTCTGCTTGTGGATTTAACCCAAACATGGGGGCTCCATGTGCTCCGGGGTGCCCCTGGGGGGTGTCACCCCCAACCCCCTGTGCAGGAGGGGACTTCTGGCCTGGATGCTCATACAGTATTTTGGGGAGGGGGGGCAGGACACACTGCTGGCTTGTGCACCCCCCAGGGACCCCAAAATTGTCCCCAAGCATCCCCAGCAGGGAGCTAACTGGGCTCTGTGGGACCCCCCCACCCCATAGTGGTGGGGACAGCCCCGTCCCCCTGGTGGCTTGGGGCAGGGGAGGGGAGGAGGTGGGGGCATTTTTGGGGGGGTGCCAGCGGGAGGGAGCCGCGCATCCCCCCCTGTGCTATTTGTGGCCCAGCCTTGCTAAATCGGGCCCCCACCTGTCCCGGCGGCAGGGGAAAGAATCCCACACCCCAAAATAGCCGCGTGCCTTCCCCGTGCCCATGGAAAATGCTTAGACATCCCGGGGGGGGGCTGCTTGCACCCCGGGGTGGCCCCCGCCGCGCCTGCCAGCACCCATGGGTGCCAGCGGGGAGCCCCCGCTGTGGCAGCAAAGGGGTTCCCCAAATGCCCCCCGCTATGGGGAGGGGGGATACTGCCCCCTCTGTCCCCAGTGGGTTGTGGTTTTTATTTTTTTTTGGGGGGGGGACCCCACCAGAGCTGTCCCCACGGTGTCACCCACGTGCCAGGCCCGGGCCTGCTGTCACCTCCGGGCACGGGGACGTGCGGGATGTTTTCCACTGAGGCCCCGGGGACAAAAATACCCTACAGAGGGTGGGGGGACACCCGTGGGGCCCCGCTGGGGGATACTGGGGCCCCTGCTGCTTGCTGGCCCCATGGGGTGCGGCACTGGGAGCACTGGGAGTGCTGGAGGAGTACTGGCATGTTGAGGCACTGGGGTACTGGGAGTACTGGGGACTGTGGGGGTGCTGTAGGAACTGGGAGCACTGGGATACTGGGAGCACTGCGGGCCCTGAAAGCTCTGGGAGCACTGGTGTATTGGGTTTACTGGGAGTACTGGGGTGGTGCTGGGGTAAGTAGGAGCACTGGGGGCACTGGGAGCACTGGGACCACTGGGAGTGGTGGTGTATGGAGGTACTGGGCAATGGGGATACTGGGAGCACCTGGGGTAACACTGAAGAAGCGGGGTGTAGGAGCACAGGGAGCACAGAGCACACTGGGAGCACTGGGGACTGGTTGAACTGGGAGTACTGGGAGTGCAGCAAACTGGAAACACTGGTGGCACTGGGGTCAGGGCACTGGTGGCAACGGGGTATTGGGATAGAGCACTGGTGGCACTGGTGTATGGCACACTGGGAGCGCTGGGACAGTGTCACTGGGGGCACTGGGAGCACTGGGAAACGCTCACTGGTCGCACTGGTGCCACAGGCCGCACACACAGCCCCACCCCGCATGCGCGCCGCCCTCCCTCCCCTAAGATGGCGCCGCCCTCTCCCCGCGGCTTCACTCCGTCAGGGGGCGTGGCCTGGCGGCGAGGAGGCGGGGCTTCTCCGTGGTCCGATCGCTGCTATTGGCCGGCGGGGCCCGGCCGCTTCGACCTCAGCCAATGGCGAGCGGGGCTGCCACGCGCGAGCGGCGGTGGGCGGGGCGGTGCCGTGCCGGGCTCGGAGGCATGGCGGAGGAGCGGGGCATGGCGGTGGTCACCTGCACGGCGCCCGTCAACATCGCCGTCATCAAGTACTGTGAGTGCGGGGCGGGGGGGCCGTGCCGAGCCGGGCCGAGCCGTGTTGTGCCGTGCCAAGCCGTGCCGTGCTATATCAGGCTGTATAGCACGCTGTGCCAAGCCGTGCCATGCATTGCTGTGCTATATCAGGCTGTATAGCATGCTGTGCCAAGCTGTGCCAAGCTGTGCCAAGCTGTGCCAAGGCGTGCCAAGCCGTGCCAAGCCATGCCGAGCTGTGCCGAGCCGTGCCAAGCTGTGCCGTGCTATATCAGGCAGTATAGCACGCTGTGCCAAGCTGTGCCATGCTGTGCCGAGCCGTGCCAAGCCGTGCCAAGCCGTGCCAAGCCGTGCCGAGCCGTGCCGTGCTATATCAGGCAGTATAGCACGCTGTGCCAAGCCATGCCAAGCCGTGCCAAGTCGTGCCGAGCTGTGCCAAGCCGTGCCGTGCTATATCAGGCAATATAGCGCGCTGTGCCAAGCTGTGCCATGCTGTGCTGAGCCGTGCCGAGCCATGCCAAGCCGTGCTGAGCTGTGCCATGCTGTGCCGAGTGGTGCCATGCCGTGCCAAGCAGGGCTGAGTGGTGCCGTGGCATGCCAAGCCATACCAGTGCCGTGCCGAGCTGTGCCGTGCCGAGCAGTGCCACGCTGTGCAATGCCAAGCTGAACCGTGCCAAGCTGTGCCATGCTGTGCCAAGCTGTGCCATGCCATGCCATGCCATGCTGAACAGTGCCATGCAGTGCAATGCCATGCCATGCCATACCAAGCTGTGCCATACCAAGCCGTACCATGCCGTGCCAAGCTGTGCCACGCCGTGCCGAGCGGTGCCAAGCCGTGCCGTTCCCCACCATGCCACCTCCACCTCTCTTACAGGGGGCAAGCGCGACACGGAGCTGATCCTGCCCATCAACTCCTCGCTCAGCGTCACGCTGCACCAGGACCAGGTTGGTGCGGGGCCGCTGTCCCCACCCCCAGCACCGGGGTGGGGGGGGGGGCTGCTGACCCCAAACCCCCAGCAGCGGGGCTGGGTCGGCTCCCCCCCGGCTCAGCCCCATCCCGTACAGCTGAGGACCACCACCACGGCCGCCGCCAGCCGGGATTTCACCGAGGACCGCCTGTGGCTGAACGGCGAGGAGGTGGACGCGGCGCAGCCCCGGCTGCAAGCCTGCCTGCGGGAGGGTGAGTTATTTGGGGAGGGGGGCACTGGAGAGACGTCCCCGTGCTCCCCCTCATCCTCCTGACCCCAGTCCTTTTGCAGTCCGGCGCCTGGCTCGCAAACGCCGCGGTGACGATGAGCACGTCCCCCCTCAACCTCTCCTACAAAGTCCACGTCGCCTCCGAGAACAATTTCCCCACCGCCGCCGGGCTGGCGTCCTCGGCCGCCGGCTACGCCTGCTTGGGTGGGTGAACGGGGACAACGCCGCCACCTCGTCCCCCTTTTACCGTGCCAGGGGGACGGCGCGGCGTCCCCGCTGACCCCCCCCGGGTGTCCCATCCTTGTCCCACGCAGTTTCGGCGCTGGCTCGGCTGTACGGCGTGGAGGGCGAGCTGTCGGAGGTGGCGCGGCGCGGTTCGGGCAGCGCGTGCCGCTCCATGCTGGGGGGCTTCGTGCAGTGGCACCGCGGCGAGCGGCCGGACGGCAGGGACAGCGTGGCGCAGCAGCTGGCCCCCGAGACGCACTGGCCGGAGCTGCGCGTCCTCATTTTGGTGGTGAGGGGGATGTTTTGGGGACCGTAGAAGGGCTGGCGGGGGGGTGCGCCCCCCGTGGTGCGCCCTTGGTTCAAGGTCCCCGTCCCGGCGCAGGTCAGCGGGGAGAAGAAGGCGGTGGGCAGCACGGCGGGGATGCAGAGCAGCGTGGACACCAGCCCCTTGCTGAAGGTAGGGGGTGGTGGAGCTCGCTGCAAGGTTTTGGGGTTTTGGGTGCCGTGAGGTCTGTGTGTCCCCGAGGTGACCGCGCTGTCCCCGTGTCCCCCCCTGCAGTACCGCGCGGAGGCGGTGGTGCCGGAGCGGCTGTCCCGCATGGCTCGGCACATCCAGGAGCGGGATTTTGAGGGTTTCGGGGAGCTCACCATGCAGGACAGCAACCAGTTCCACGCCACCTGCCTCGACACCTTCCCCCCCATCTTCTACCTCAACGACGTCTCGCGTGCCATCATCGCCCTGGCGCACCGCTACAACGCCCACCACGGCCGCACCAAGGTACCGGGGCGGGGGCGCACCCCAGGGGGGGCACAGAACGGCACGGTGGCTCTGACCCCGTCCCTACCGACCCCGAGGGTCCCATCCCGGCCACCCACAGTGTCCCCGTCCCCCTGGCAGGTCGCCTACACCTTCGACGCCGGCCCCAACGCCGTCATCTTCGCGCTGGAGGACACCGTGCCCGAATTCGTGGCCGTGCTGAGGCGCAGCTTCCCGCCCGCCTCCAATGGGGACCAGTAAGGGTGACCCCCCCTTTACTTTCCGGGATCGGGACCGGGTTGGGGGCTGACATTAAGCCCCCCCCCAGTCCCGGTGCTGACCCCCGGCCGTGCCTGCAGGTTCCTGCGGGGGCTCCCGGTGGCCCCGGTGGCGCTGCCGGAGGAGCTGGTGGCCACCGTGGTGGCGGAGCCGGTGCCGGGAGCCGTGCGCTACGTCCTGCACACCCAGGTAGGGGCAGGATGGGGTGAAGTGGGGGGGGCCATGACCCCAACCCCATTATGGGGACCCCCCCCCCGGTGTCCCTCCTCGTCCCCTGATGTCCCCCCGTTGTCCCCACAGCCTGGCCCCGGCCCCCAGCTCCTGCGGGACCCCGAGCGGCACCTCCTGGGCGCGGACGGGCTGCCCCGACGCACGGCATGAGCACCGGAGAGGGGGGGGGGGACACCGGTGACACCCATGGGTGGGGGGCACCCCAATGGGGACTCCTGCAGTGGGGTGGGGGCGCACAGCCCCCTCCGGGACCTGATTTTGCCCCTTTTTAACCAAATAGAGCGTTGTCGGCTGCAGCCGTGTCCGTGTGCGGTGCTGGGGGGGGAGCGGGATGTGACCCCCCCTGGGACCCCAGGGACCCCAGTGGGGTCCTGGGGGGGGGACAAAAAGGGGCGTGGCCTATGGGAAAGGGGCGTGGTTTATCGGTAAGGGGTGGGGTTTATCAGGGAGGGGTGGGGTTTATCAGGGAGGGTGGGGTTTATTGGGGTGGGTGGGTTTATCGGGGAGAGGAGGGGTTTATCGGTATGGGGTGGGGTTTATGGGGTGGGGGCGCGGTTTAGGGTCGGGGCTCGGTCCCATACGCAGCGCCGCTGCCCTTCCGCGTCCAAAACGGGCCGGGCTGAGCCGAATTGGGCCATGGGGCAGATTGAGTGGGCGATGTGGGCCAACGAGCAGGCGCTGGCGGCTGGGCTCAGTGAGTGCGGGGGGCTGCGGGGGTGGGTGGGGGGCTTTGGGGGGGGTGGGAGGCTTTGGGGGGGCTGTGGGGCACGGATCCACCACGCAGGGACCCCAGGGACCCCCGTGTTGTCCCCATAAGTGTGTCCCTGTGGTTTGTATCGGGTCGTGGCCCCCCCAGTTTTGGCCTGGTTTGGGCTGGGGATGGAGGAAGTGAGAGGCAGCGGGGACGCGGAAGCGCAGGGGGGGGGGGAGGGTGGCACCCATGGGGGTGTCACACGGGGAGGGTGGCACCCCTGGGGCACCGTGGCACCCCATGGGGCTCACCCCGCAGTGCCCAAAAAGCTGGGGTCGGGGGGGGGCTCGGGGTCCCCAAGCGCCGTCCCCCAGCCCCAATTGTGCCACCACCAAAGTGGAGGGGCTCCGAAATGTGCCCCCCAACCCCAACCCGCTCATCCCACAGCCCCCCCCAGACCCTAAATCCAGGGGGTCCCGCACACAGCATCACCCTGGCGTCCCACCCCATGGGTTCCTGAGCTGGGGGGGGGGCACACATATCCCCTTGTGGGCTGGGGGGGCCACCAGCGTCCCCACTGTCCCCCGGTGTCCCCGCAGTCATGCTGACCGGTGGCATCGTGGCGGTGGCGGGGCAGTTCAAGGGCTGGTACTTCGCCGTCTACGCCATGTATCCTTTTTTTTTTGGGGGGGGGGGCACAGCAGGGAGACCCCTGCCCCAATTCGGGACCAGGAGGGGGGACCACACAAATCCTCCCTGCCCAAATTTGGCCCCAAATCTCTCCATTCCTGCCCCGTTTCCCCTGGGGGCTGCACCCAGGGGGGCTGATCCTGACCCACCAAGCACCATTTTTCCTTGACCCCCCCGCCCCCCCCCAGCGCTGCAGGCGTCTTCGTCTGCCTGCTCGAGTACCCCCGCAGCAAGCGCAAGAGGGGCTCCACCATGGAGCGCTGGTAAGTCACCCCCCCACCCCTTACAGCCACCCGGGGGGATTTTGGGGATCCCTTAGGGCTGGTGTGGGGGGGTCCCGTCCTTTCTGACCCCCCCAGCACCCCCCCGCAGCGGCCAGAAGTACATGACGGCGGTGGTGAAGGTGTTCGGACCCCTGACCAGGAATTACTACGTCCGAGCCGTCCTGCACGCTGCGTAAGTGGGGTGGGGTGGGGGGGTCGGGGTTGGGGTGCAGCCCCCCCTGAGCCCCCCCTTGAGCCCCCCCTGTGCCCCCAGGCTCGCCGTCCCCGCTGGCTTCCTCCTCTCCACCATCCTGGGCACCGTCTGCTTGGGCATCGCCAGCGGCATCTACCTGCTGGTGAGCGTGGGGCTGCTTCTGGGGGGGAATTTGGGGATTTTGGGATTTTTTGGGGGCTGGGGGGGCCCGGTTGGAGCAGAGGGGCTCCCAAAGACCCCCCCCAACCTTGTCTTTGCAGGCGGCGGTGCGCGGCGAGGAGTGGAGCCCCATCGAGCAGAAGCCCCGGGAGCGGCCGCGCGGGGGGGACACCATCAAGCAGCCCCCCAGCAACCCCCCGCCACGGCCCCCCGTCGATACACGCAGGAAGCAGCCGGCAGAAGAAGGGGGCCAGGTCAACCCCATCCCCGTGGAGGCCGAATAATGCCCCGGGGGGGGGCAGCTTCTGCTGCTTGTGGCCCCCTTTCCACCTCCACCCGCTTCCCTGCTGCGCCCTGGGGGCACCGTGGTGCCTGGAGGGGGTCCCCAAATCCCCGGGGGATTCTCAGGTCCTTGTGGCCCCCCCGGTGCTCCCCAAATCTCCAGGGGATGCTCAGGTCCTTGTAGCCCCCTGGGGGCTCCCCGTATCCCCATGGCAGCCCCAGCTCCCCCCCACCAGCCACGCAGCTCCGCTCGCTGCACCCGCTCCTGCCTTGGTTTCATTTTTAACGTTTTCAGCGCTTTTTTTGCAATAAAACAACCAAAAAGTCCCAGATCCTGCCTGCGTCTGGCTCCTTGGTGCTCTAGGTGTGAGCTTGGGGAGGGGGCTCAGTGCCCAAATCTTTGGCCCCAGCTGGGGGTTGGTGACAGCTTTTCCCCAAGGGGGGGGGGGCGTGCATTGCAGTGGCACAGTGTGCCCCCAAAAAGCCCCCAGAGCCCTGTGGGACCTCCCCAACAGGGAAATTGGGGCCACAAGGGAGGTCTGGGGGTATCACGAGGGGGGGGACAAGGGACACCCGGTGTCCATGCCTCTGCTTTGTGGGGACAAATCCTTCCTGGTTTTGGGCACCAGCAGCTGCTCCGGGGGGATCCCCAGCCCCCAGCACCCATGGGTGCCGCCAGGGCGCATGGGGTGGCCCCAGCAGGTGGCGCTGAGCCCATGGGTGCCCGGGGGCTGAGCCATGGGAAAGGAGTGGGTGGCGGGGTGCTGCAGGGTGCCGGGGGGGGGGACCCTGCAGTGCTGGGTGCTGTGGGGCTGAGAGATGCCCCAAAACCCAGCACCCATGGGGGCAGCTGGCGGTGGGGGCACCCGTGCACGTCCTACAACCCTGCACCAATAATTCTGCCCCCCCACCACCACGTCACCCCAGGTGGAGACGAAGCAAGCGGCGTGCCACGGAGGGTCAGGATTTATTTTTCTGCACGGTGCCGACGTTAAATAGCACACGGAGGGCTCAATAAATAGCTCTACGGGGGAATAAATAACCAGCGAGTGCCCGGGGAGCGCTCGCAGGGTCTGATGCTGGACCCCGGGGCCGCTGCCTTTATTTTTTGGGGGGGAGGTCAGCAATAAATACGTTTTTTTTTTAAAAAAAAGAAGCCCCCAGCAGGCGTCGGCAGGCTCCTCGTCTCGGGGCAGGGCTCATAAATAACTCATAAATAAAAGGGTGGAGGTTTGGGGGTGCTCTAGAACAAGCACGGCGGGGGGAGCGGTGACACGGTCACGCTTTTGGGGGGACAGGGGGGCTCCACGGGAGCAGGGGTCAGCGCCCGGTGCGGGGCAGGACGCACGTGCAGCCCACAGGCACCTTGATGTAGTCCACCTCGAAGGTGACGAGGCCGGGGCCGGAGGGGCGCGGGCAGGGTTTGCGGCGCAGCACCATCATGGTCTGGTGGATGGCCACCGAGTTGAGCGAGGTGGTCTCCCGGCCCGTCTTCACGTCCACGCAGCCGTCGCAGAGGCACTCGGCGAAGGCCAGCTTGCGGGGGTACCGGTTCTCATCCTCGTCGATGCTGCAAGCAGGGGCACCCTCAGCATCCCACCACGTTCCCCCTGTAACCCCAGCACCGCACCGGTGCCCACTTCATGGTTGGATTTCCCCCTTTTCCCACCCTGTTTTTCTGTTTTTATCCTCTCCGGGTACCCACCGGTAGCGCCACGGGGAGATGGAGCGCTCGTTGGGCTCGCTGCGGAGCCCGGCGCGGAGCTGCAGCGCGGGGCAGGCGCGCTCGCGGTGGTGCCGGCGACGTCTCCGGCGTCGGGCTTCGTCCTGCAGGCGCTCCAGCTGCGGCACCAGCTGCACCGGCACGTAGTGGTCCCAGCGCAGGCTGTGGCTGATGAAATGCGCGGGGGCTTCGCCGTCCTGCAGCTCGCCCGCGCTGTAGCAGTGCACGTGGGGAAGGTGCGGGTGGGCGCCGGGGCGCCGCAGGCAGCGGCACAGCGCCAGGGCGCTCAGCAGAGCCAGGGCTCCGAGCCAGCCCTGATGGAGAGATGGGGGTCAGGAGGCAGAACCATGCCCAGCGCCCACCCGGTGGCACCCCAACCAGCCCACGGACCCCCTCACATCCTCCCCAAGGAAAGCTTTGGGGTGAGACTGGAGGCGCACACCTCCTCTGGGGGGGTCCCTGCAGGGCTGAGTGTGCGCTCACACCCAAATACTGGCACCCCAGTCCCCCAGAGCACCAGCACACACACACGAGTGTGCACACCACGCAAAGACCAGCAGCCCATGCAGGCACAAGGCTGGCTGCACAATCCCAGCTCGCATCCATACCCCAAAATCGCCCTTCCATGTGCACAGCCACATGCAGAAGTACCGGCACCGAGATGTGCACGTGGATACACACACACAAAAAAAAGCAGCTTAAGTGTGTTGGGGCACACCGAAACCCACAGCCCCTACACACACACAGCTCCTGCCCCTCTCCGCACCCCCCTCAGCACACAAAAGACATTCTATACATATAAATATGTAAATATATATATATAAATATGTACATGTGATATAAATATATGTCAGTACACACACATGCACATACGGTGGCACCAGCACTTGTGGCTCTCACGCACAACATTTTTTATATATTATGTGTGTATATATATATATAAAATGCATATGTATTATATGTATATGTGTGGCTCTCATACACACACACACGTCATTTGGCACATTATGCATGCACACACACACAATTATATATAATTTGATATATTATATGTGTATTTATATATACACACCGATATCGTTATCCACACACTTATAGATGCACACGGAGCGGCACCAGCACGTGCAGCTCACACCGAGGCACCGGTGTGCACTTGCACATGCACACACACCCCCTTACACACCCCCTTACACACACATTTACACATTTACACATTTACACACACATTTACACACCCACGCACTCAGCTGGTGCCAGCCCTTCTGTGCGCAGTGGCACACACGCGTGTACCCAGTGCCACCCGTCCCCTCCACGCATCCAGCACCAGCTGCGCCCCAACGATCCCACAGTCACCCACCTGCCTACACGCACCTGTGGGTGTGCAACACACGCACACCCCCCCCCACTACCCCTCCACGCCCCCCCCGGTCCATATGGATGAGCAGCACCTCCACGCACAGCAGCCGCCAAGCCCCACGTGTGCACGGGGACACCCCCACGCGCACCCACGCACCTTCCTCTCCCCCTGGGTGGCCAAAGCCCAGCCTCGCACACCTCCCGTACCCCATGCGCTCCTCAAAGCGCCCCCCCCATGCCCCCTCCTGTGCCCCCCCCCAAGACCCCCTGGGGTTACCATGGGTGGGAGCGGGACGGGAGGCACCAAGGGCACCCTGCGAGCTGCAGCCGAGTGGCGCCGCCGCCGCCGCCTCCACCTTTATATAGGGCTCGGGCAGGTGATGTGCACACACCTGGAAACTCCAGCTCTGGCTGCCTTCCTCCTCCCCGCGGGCCGCCGCACTTCCTTCTCAGCCCGGCGTGTCCCAGCCCTGCTCCTGGGGGCCCGGAAATCGTTTGCCCCCAAAAAGGATGGATGGGGTTGGCGTGTTTTTTTTTTTGGGGGGGGATAAAGGGGTGCGCGGAGGTGTAGGGATTGGGGGGGGAAAATGGGGTGAAGCTCGGTTTGGGTGCTTGATGGCGAGGTGCTGATGGGCACGTGGCAGCGTGGAGCATCACAGGGCACAGGGCACAGGAGGGTTGGGGTGGCCGTGGCCTGGCCGGGCACCCGGGGGCATCCGCATGGATGGTCCTTGGTCACTGCCCACCCCCCAAGACCCTCCTGGGACCCATGGGGAAGCAAAAGGCACCCTAATGATGGGACAGTCCCCGTGCCCCGTGCTGTCACAGCCCTGGCCCCATTGCGTAAGCCCGGCGGTGATATCACTGTCACGTTCCCGGGGCTGCCACAAACCCGGAGCAGAAATCCCGAATTGGGCAACCCTGGAAAAGGGCTGAAGGGCTGCGGCTCCCCGGGGCGCCCGGCAGAGAGGGCTCAGGCACGGCGGGGTCAGAAGAGGTGGCTCAGGGATGAGAGGAAGGTTTTCCCTGCCCCGTGGGGCTTTGTAGGGGCAGGCAGCAAGGGGAAGCCCCCCCGGGGTGCTGCAAGGAGCCCCTCGCACCCCATTTTGCTGCCGAAGCACGGGGAGAAGTTGGGGGTCCCTGCTCACCACCGAGGGGCTTCTATAACCATGTGTCCTGTTAGAGCAGCATTGCATGAGTCTAAAACCCTTTGGGGTGCAAAGGATGAGGGTCAGCCCCCAGCCCCTGTCCCCGCAGCACCCCAAGAAGCATCTTTGTGCTGCTACACACAAGACCGAGCGCCCTGGCACCAGGCACCGCGGTTTTTTCTCCTGGAGATGGAATTTGCAGGCGTTCAGCAGCGATGTGCTGCAGTGCCACCAGCCCCGAGCAGGCAGGGATAAGGCACGCAGGGCCTCGGGGGGCAGCGTGACAGCAGGGACCCCAAATGCCTCCCCCAAAAGGGCTGGATGAGGGGTACCCCCCTCCACTGGGTGAAACCAGCACTGGGAGGGAACACAGGGTGGCAGCTCAGGAGGGATTTGGCTGAACAAGGTGGAAGCAGGGAGGGTGAGCTGGAGGCCAGAAGGTCCTGTGGCACTTGGGGGGGGTAAAAAGGGCACTTGGGGGTTTACCTGGGGAATAAAAACGACAGAGGCTGGAAACAGGGATGGCAAGGGAGAGGGAGGAGAGGGGCACGCAGAGGACAGCGGAGAAAGGAAGAACTGGTTATCAAAATACTTTATTTCAGGGAATATCCCTCAAAAAAAAAAAGGGGGGGAGGGAAAAAAAAAAAAAACAAACAACAGAAAAAGGACCCTCCTCGTTAGACAGACATCGCACAACAGCTTCAGGGCTCCTTTTAAATCAACTGCAACAATCCGCTGCTTAAAAGAAAAGACAGGTGGTTTTCCCAATCAGGCTTCAGTCAAGAATATATATATATTTTTGTTCCTGGTGGAGGAGGGCGGGGGACAAGGTGATGTTGCCAGTAGTTCACAGCAGTTTTCGGCTCTCTCGTTACACAGTATTATAGAACTGCATTGCTGAAGACACTCAACACACAGCAGGGCTAACTAGGAGAATACAACTCAAGGCTAGCAAAGAGGAGAGGGTGAAGAGAGAGAAAGAGAGAGAGAGAGAGGAAGGAGTGAGAGCATCCAACAGGGCTGGAGTCCTCTGTGCATAATTTACATGGAAAAGGGGGGTGGAAGCCCCCGTCCTGGTGCCCGGCCCCACTGGGGAGCCGGGGCGCACGGTCTCAGCTGACAAACTTCGTGGGTCAGGTTTTCTTTTCTTTTTTTTTTTGGGCGTTTTTTTGTTTTTTTTTTTTTTCCTTAAAAAGAATCGCGGCCAAAATAAGACAGAACTGCAAAATCCCAAAGTGGCCGCTTTTCCACTATTTATAAAAACATGAACAGTCACTAAGGGGGCACGGCCCACTATACTTTCCCGGGGATTTTGGCCCGCTTGCGAGCGATGGCATCTTCCACGGCCTTCAGCTGCTTCAGGAGCTCCTCCCGTCGTGACAGGGTGCTGGATTTGCCCGTCTTGGCACCCGTGGGGCCGGGCTCGGACGCTTTGCCCGGTACGCTCGTGACTTTGCTGGAGCTCTTGGACTGAGGAGAGAGCTGGCGCTTCCTGGCAGGGAGAGAAAGGCACAGGGCGGTGAGGAAGGCTGCAGGCAGGACGGGGACAAACCCCAGCAGGGAGCACGGCTCCAAGGAACACGTTGGAGAGGAGAGGAGTCACTCTGGCAAACCGTCTGAAGCAGGGGAAGCTCAGCTGCCCCGGGGGGATCCCTGAAATTTAAGCTCAGCTCCTCGGCCGCTGGGATGGGGTGTGCCAAACCCCGCAGGCAACACTGCCAAACCCCGACAGCAGCAGGCAGGAGAGGGGCAGAAGCAAGGATGCGGTCAGCCCCGAGTCTGGAAGGGCTGAGGTTCCTCTCCAGCACTTTAAAACAGGACCTCGGGGCCAGCAGAACGGGGCTGTGGTGGCTGGGGCCAGGCTTTGGGTTGGGAAGACACCGACACACAGGCACTGAGGCTCGCTCGCGCCCCAGGCTGGGGAGAGGGGACGAGAGGAGTCCTGCAGGGGGACAGGACAGGGCTGAGCCCGTTTGCTCAGGTTGGTCCTCGGAGCTGACACCAGGGAAATGCAAAGCGGGCTACGAGGCCCGAGGAAGCTTTGGGTGAGCCGCAGGAGGCGCCCCACAACCCTCACACCACCGGGCTTGGAGCACAGTGCAGCCCAACGCCCCTGGAGCCGCACATCCAGTTCTGCACTGGGACCTTCCCAGCACCAGCAGCAGGTGCGGGCTGCCAAGAAATGGGCCGTGAGCTGGGCAGCCAGCACCAGAGGGGACGGGAGGCACGAGGCCAGCGCTTGTCACCGCCCAGAGGCACCCAGGGGCCGCGTCTCAGTGTCAGCAGCATGCTGAGCAGCTCGGGGTACAAAGAAAAGGAACTGGGCACCCGAGGCATGGGGAGCTGGGCAGCAGGGGCTGCAGTTTCCCTCTCCCCAGCACCACACGCTCGCACCTAACCCACTTGGCTCCGCTTGCCGGAACCGACCTCAAGAAACCCCCCCCGGGCGCCGGTTCCTTCCCGAGCAGGAACAGCTCAGCGGTGGCTCCCACGTGAACCCCTGAGCTCCTCTGGCTCCCGGCCAAGGAGCTTCGCGTCCTTCCTCTCCCCGCGCCTCCATGGCAACTGGAAACTCTCCGGTCAGAGTCTCAGAGCTGCCCCAAGAGGAGGAAGGGAACAGCTGGGGAAGCGGGGCAACGGGAAGCAGCACAAGTACTTCTCCGGCACGTGTGGGTCACCAGAAGCGCTCACCTTCCCCATGAGAGCCTCACCCCACCTGGGAAAGGCTGCAGGAGAGCACAGGGCTCTGGTTTTCTCTGCAGGGCTGTTATTTTAGGGAGATGAGGGCCTCCAGTTTGGCTGTGCTGCCCCAGCCTTGTCGCTGAGACCCCCACGAGCGCGAGCGCGCACTGACCTGTCCGCCTGGGCGGGAGATGGTTTCGTGTTCTGGCCCCTCTGCCGCTCTTGTTTGGGTGAGGAGGCTCTCCCGGCTGCCTTCCTGTCACGAGAGCCTACAGGAAAATAAAAGGTGAGATGTTCTGTTTGTCACCGAGGTCATTACCTGCCCACCGTGCCACCTCGGCACGGACCACCTGGATGCCCCGTTATCTGCGGGCAGCTGGTGCAGTTTGTGGCCACGAAGGCGCCCGAGGTGGCTCTGCAGCAGGCAGCTGCTGGTTTATCAACTCAAGGAGCGCTGCGTGAGCACAGCTCTGCTGCTCCTAGAGCCAGCATCCCCCTGAGTGAGTTCAGCACAGGCTGAAGGGAGATGCTCCATCGGAGCCGTGCGGATTTGTGGGTCTCAGGGGTCCTGCTTGGCTGCAGTGGGTTCCCCAGGCACTGATATCCCAGAGCACGGGGAGGAGCTACACCTGGAAGCAGCCCGCGTGCCCCTGGGGCTGTCCTGAGCCCTGAGCACTAGCCAAGCTGCACGCCCTGCTGCCAGGACAGTAATTCCCGGGGCTGCTGATCTCACTTTCATCACCGCTCCGGAGAGCAAAGGTGCTCAACGGCCCGGCTGTTTGTTGGGTCAGTGCTCTGCTCCCGACACCACGAGGCGGGCAGCGCTGCAGATTTGATCCTGCAAGGTTATAGAGGAGGGAAGTGAGACTCAGCACAGCCACCGATAGCTCCGCGCTGCGATTTTTGAGCCTGGTGCCTCTGCTCAGTCCCAATTCCATCACGCTCGCCACTGTGAGGTGAGGCCGAATTGCCTCACCGGGCTCGTGTCCCACTTACCACTGTTTACAAGTGTTTTATGGTGTACAGACAACAAATCACGTGTGTCATTACAGCTACATCCATAAAACCAGCACGGTTTGCTAGATCAACCCGTCCCTTTGTCTGCAGCTCAGCAGTCGGCGTGAACTAGGTCCCAGTGAACTTCCCCCTCGCCCAGTCCCTCTCCGCGCCGCAGCAGCTGAGCGCACGCGGGCTGTGAGCACTCAATTTTTTCTGGCGAGCGCCCAGAGTCAACAAGATACACCTACAGCTGAGACAACGGGGAAAACAACATCACGTGGCGATGCTGGCACGGGATGCCAAAAACAGAGGCACCTCTGGCCACCGACTTCCCCCCCACCCCCCTTGTTTTTCAGCAGTGGCTGGAGCATCACATTCAGGTCCCTCGCAGCTCGGTTTTCCAAGTGCTCGGAACTCCTGCCAAGGACTCGGAGGCAGGAGAACACTTGGAAAGCCTGCGTCTTTCTAATCACACAGGGCAGATCAGGTTGTGTCACACACAAGTGGGGAAATCGGCTCATTTCACAGGCTGGATGATTTAGCCAAGTACTGCACCCATCCCGGAGCCTTGGCAGCCCGTGCTCCCTTTCGAAGCACTGCCAGAAGCCTTATCAGGAGCCTGCGATCCCGCGGCGATACCACCACGAGGTGAAGCCCCTGGGAAGGGAACAACCTCATCCAGTGCCACGAAAAGAGACGGGGCAGCCTTCCTGGGAAGGATGGACACGCACCTGAGGTGGAGGTGAGCGCGCCGTGCCTTCAAAGTGAGGGATTCTCTGTTTTTTTTTTTAATTTTTTTTTTGCACAGACACGGTGGAGCCACGGCGCTGGCAAGGCGCACCACAAGACAGCTCGGCACAGCCGGGCTCGGCCTGCCCAGGGCTGACCTCACCTCGCTTACTTCACAGCCAGCCCGCAGCGGCTCAGCGCCACCGTGGTGGTGCAGCACGGTGGCTAAGACGCACGGGGATCTGGTGGCCATGGCTCGCTCCAAGCCTTTGCTCGCAGGGAAACCCCTCCAGCAAGGGGATTCCTGCAGCAGGGGCTTTTAGATGTTTGCCACCCGATCTGGGGTGCCTCTGGTGGCAGGGCAGGAACCCTGCCGGGGCCAAAACCCTCCTCCGGCCGATGTCTCACCTCGGTCGGGTGACAGGTTCGCCCGTTTGGCTGCTGGAGAGCTCGGCCTGTCTTTGTCTGCTGGCTCGTATCTCTTCCTGCTTCCTTTGTCAGCTGCCTGAATGGAATGAAGCAGACAACGGAGGTGAGTGGCCATTTCCCTCCGGGGAGGAAAGCCAACAGATTATTTCCTGCGACCGCTGCCAGCGCCGCGCTGGCTCGCTGATGCAAACACAGCTCCTGTTCAACTCCTGCTGCGCTCCAGTCCCCGCCATCCCCAGCACCGTGCGATTCCCCTGCCACCATAAAATTCCCTTGCCACATCACGGGAGCAGCAACAGCCTCTGGGGCCAACTCTGTGCTGTGTTTCGTGGCTATTTTTGTTACTGCCAGAAACGGGAGAAGAGCAGCGCTTTGGGGAGGCTTTTTTGGCAGCACCAAGGATGGCAAAGGGCAGCGAGGCTCGGGGAGCTGCGCCTTGGTCCAGCACCGATTGTGCCAGCCCAGAGTTTGGTATAATTGCCTGCTCCTCCCCGCAGAGCACGCTTCGCAGACCCGATAAAGGCGCCTCACGTCACGGCACGGGGAAGTAGGGAAAACTGTGGCCTCAGATTGCAACGGGAAATTCAGACCGTCAGGAAAAAAAGAAAAAAAAAACATTAAAACTATAAAACCAGGAACCCAGCCACGTGACGGGAGCCAACACCCTGCTGCGGCACAAAGCCCCGCGAGGTCAAACTCTCGCCTGATCTGGATTGAGTCTGTGCTGCAGGCACCCCAGTGGGGCATCAGGCTCTGTTGGAAGTGGGGAGATCCCAGGTGGGCTCCTTTTTGCCACTTTTACCTCTTACCGCAGTTAATGACCTGCCAGCAGCTGGCTCTGGAGGTGCCAGGGGGAAGCCAGCTCACTGGGAAGCGTGCTGGGAGCATGCTCTGGGTGGGCAAAGCCCCGCTGTGCCTTGGTCTGGCTGCCTGGGATGCAGCCTTGGAGAAAGCCGGGACCAGCCCTTGAAGCTGCAGCAGGAATGTGCCCCAGGGGAGCCGCCAACACAGTCCCAAGCTGAAGCCACCGCAGGGTGTGTGCTGCCAGACAGGTTCTGTGCCTCTCCAGCCCCAGCTGCAGCTACCCGCCCGAGCTCATCCCGACAGCACGGAGCCTGCAGCTCCCCTTCTGCCAGCCTGCAGCCCCACAGCACAGCCCCATCCGCTCCTCGGACCCCCGGGGTCCCTCCTCTCACCTTATTCAAGAGCGTCAGTTTGATTTCCTTGTGAGCGAAGCCTCCCTGCTGAGCCTGGGGGGCTGCAGGCTGCTGGGGCTGCAGGAGCTGCTGGGATTTGCTCCCCTGGGCGAGCTTGGCCGATTTCAGGAGCTGAGCAGAGGCGTCCCGTTTCCGCTTCTCCTCCTTAGCGCTGTCTTCTTTTTTTGATTTTCCTGTTGAAAGCAGAGCGCAGACACGTGGCTCGCCACCGATCCCTTTCGCCTGCCTGCAGGGCGAGCGGGTGCTGCCCCAAGCACTGGAAAAGCCCACACCAGCTGGCGTGGCCTCTGGCCCCAAGGTCAGGAGATCCAGGAAACCATAATTTCCGCAAAGAACACTTCACATAAAAGACAAGGAACAAAAGGCTCTTGCCGCCACCTCTGCTCCAGTCTAAAAGGGACAGAGAGGACTTACAGCCTGATACTGGAGTCATCCAGTTTTTTATTTATATATAAAGTGTCTATCACCATCACCTTGCAAAGAGAACAAAAATAAAGGAGCATCAGGCAGGACTCCTGGGCAGGAAAAGGCATTTTTACAGCCACATGGACAAAAGGATGAACGTGTGTTTGCCCCACAGCCTCCCTTTGCCATGGTCTCACCTGACTCTGCCAGATACTCGTGCCCTGCTGACTGATTTTCCTGGCGCCCGCAGTATCATCAAGCAAGCTGCAGGCAGATCTCTGCTCCCTCCCTTTCCCCAGTACCCCGTAAAGATGAAAAAGCCAAACCAGGTACCTCTACCTTTCTTCTGCTGCGCCGGGGTTGGGGATCGGGAGCTGGCTGAGGACACGGGGCTGGCCAGGTCCGCGTACATGTCTTCGGAGTCAGCGCTGCGCACGGAGCTGCTGCTGGAGGAGGCACTAGAGACAGAAGAAACGCTGCTCACGCTCAGGGACCTGGAAAGAGCCAACAACCCGTTACAGTCGCAAACGCAACGAGAACCAGGCAGCGACGAGGCAGGCAGCTTTGTTTTAACTCCCCCAGTGTACCCAAAGAGAGAGGCTGCGATGTCAGAAAGCTCCTGCGGCGGGCAACATCCAGGGGAAAGACAAAGGCTGTGTCTCCTGGGGCACAGCTAATATGAAAATCCCGAAGGAGTTAAAGCCTAGAAAGTCCTGTTTATTTATAAACAGGATTAAGGCAAAGCTCAGCAGGTCGCTGTTCCCCCAGGTAAACAAAAAGTGAAAGCAGGGTGTGCGCTACCACGGACGTGTCAGCGTCATGGCTCAGGTCAAGGGTTTCCTGGCAGTGCTTTTGCTGCACGAGTTTATTCACAGACCTCGAGTCCTACAGCCCGAACCTCCTGCCCGGCTCCCCAGGGTACAGGAGAGCCCGGCTGCCTATTGGGAAGAGGCACACGCTGCCAGGAGTGGTAATGACAGGGAGGGAAGCCTCCGAGATGGCTATCTGCTAATGGATTCACAACATTCAAACCATCAGACAGTCTAATTCGTCTAAGAAAGGCTTTCTACTTAGGAGCACGCCAGACAAAAAAGCAGGGCTGTGCACAGGTGGATTTCTCTTCGGGGGCCCTGTCTCCCCTCCCCAAATCTTGCCCCAAATCCCAGCCAGCTGGGACGTGGCTTGCAGGGCTCCCAGCGCCGTGCAGGACCAGCTGTATCCTAACCGTGTGAATCTTCCCGCAGCCTCTCGAGCAGGTTCTGCAGGCCACACCGACTCCTGCAGCCCAGCTGGCAAGATCCAGGCTCGCTCGGTGAAAGCCGGGCTGTGCACAGCTGCAGGGGCTGCAGCAGCTGCAAGGCACACACCTGGAGCAAGCTGCTGCTTTGCTACCCATGGGCATCCGAAACAGGGCTAAATTTTGAGAGAAAGTCTCACTGAAAGCCACAGCATGACTGGGTGAGCCAGAAACTCCTTTGGGAAAGCTCCTGTGGCAGCAAACCTGGTTTGGGTACAGGCTAATTCCTAAATTTCCTCCTCATCCACACGCCCAGCAGCTGGCACAGCCCGGTGCCACAGGAGCAGCCCCTGCAGCGAAGGTTTTCCCATCCTCTCCTCTCAAGCCCTGGTACAGCTGAGAGCTCTCCGAGCCTCTTGCATCACCTGCCTGATCTGAGGAAGGTGCCAAGCACGCGGTAAACAAGCTGGCATTTCTGTAAAATCACGCGGATATTGAACCCGGGAGTTTCACACGTGGGAATTAACAATGGTCGGAGCTAAAGCCTGTTTTATCCGCCGGCTTTAGGTGACAGGGCTGCTTCTAAATCCGTGCTTTACCACTGGGAAGCTTTGCGTTTCAAGGCTGCTTGGGAAGTTTTTGGGCATTCCGGGCGTATGAAGAGATGCAAAAAAAAAAATCTGCAGGAAGGACTTGAAAGGGGTTTACTTCACAACTCCTTCCTGGAGGGAATGAGCTGTTTACAAATCTCCCAGATTAACAGCCTTCTAACTACCCACTTGGGGCTAAATACAAAGGGAACTGGTCGTGCAACTTCACCAGCAAAGTAAAAATATCATTAGCTGGGCCTTTTAGGTCTCTTCTGACCTCCCTCTCCTGGCAGGCCAAGCACCTTCCCTAAGGACATTCGGTAACTGGAGGCAGCCGAGGCTTAGAACAGCAAAACTCCCCAGCTACAGACTGTTAATTGTAACTAAATTAATTTATGGGGTGTTGGTTCCCCCCCACAATGAGATAAAATGTTAAACTGAGACCTGGCCGTCAGGAGAAGGCGTTTGGCCATAATTTGGGTAAACGTGGACAGTTCAGCACCAATTATTTCCTTGGATAAGCCACAAGGTCCCTGTCAACACAGTAGTACCACGATTTGGGACGAGGGATTCATAACCCCACACGAAGGGACAATCCTGGTCCATGTCCTAGTTACCTACAGCCGCTGACACCCGAAGCTGAGGGAGCTTTCACTGCGAGAACCCAAACAATTACAAGGGGTTCTCATCCAGCCCATGCTGCTCCAGCAGAGCTGACGGAGGGACAAGGCTGTACCTGGACTTCCTGGACCCAGAAGCGGAGTGGGAGACTGAGGCAGACGACGATCTGGAATGAGATCTGGAGAGAGACCGAGACAAGGACCGAGATCGGGAGCTGGATCCGCTGTAGCTGCTGGCGCTGCCGCTGATGCTGCCGCTGATCGTCCGCCTGCAACACAGCAAACCACAGCCTCACCCCGCTGCGCTGGGCGACCAAACGGGGCGAGAAGGAACCCTTTAGGGACAGTTCCACCCGTGTCCTGAACCCTCTGAAAGGAGGGTGCTCTGCAAATGTAATCGGTTCAGGTGTTGTTCCCAGCACTGCTTCCCCAATCTCTTTTCTGAGCTGCAGATGTTTTATGCAGGACTGAACAACGCTCATCAGAGCCAGACGAAGAGGGAGCTGAAGGCTCCTTAGTCCCCTAGTGATGCCAGGAGCAAACGGTTCCTACAAAGAATTGCTATTTTGGGACTACCTTGTATTTCAGGCTCTGTAAATAACCATATATGTTTTTTGAGTAACACACCAGTGCTTGCAGATGGAGCTGTCTTGTTGTTTGTGCAGCAAGAACACAGGGCAGTGGAGGTGGTGCGGGTACATGCATAAAAAAAAAACAAAAAAACAAACCAAAAAACAAGGCTGGAATAAAAATATAAGGGCAAGTCACTTAAGGCATCCACCATGATTAGCTAGTTGAAGTGAAACAAGGTAGAACTGAAGGAGTTTCTATGGAGAAGAAATTGTAACTGCTCAGCCCCAGGCCTTTTCTTCAGCTACTGGGAAGAAAAAGGAGAGGTAACCCCATGCAAAATGAAGAATTGACTCCAGACGCTTCCAAAAAGCTGAACAGAAAATGGATTTACAGCCCCCTGCAAAACACACTGATAAAAAATACCATGCAGTGCTCCATGAAAAGCAACGTATGCCTTACTGCAGGCACAAAACATCCTCAGGCTCCTCACGTGCTCATGATAAGGACACCTGCATTAAATTTGGGCTGCGTTTTACTTCGTGTCCCCCGAACTGCTGCTTCCACAGACTAGGCAAGCAGGCAGCACGCCGCTATGTCAAACCCTGCAGCCTATGAAGGATGCACGAGGAGTTTCAGCTACGTTTAGCTGACTCAGAGCCTCTCCAAGAACAGGCAACGCTACCTGCATCTTCTAAACACAGACTGGTGGCTTAAGCCCAATAACCACATTTGCATCCAGACAAGTGCTCCTTGTCTGCAAACTATCAGGAGACGCTCTCATTTCAAATGCAAAGGAACGAGAAAGAGACAACGGAAACAATTCGAGGACAGCCAGAACGAGTCTCTTGAAACGTTCAGACCAGTCGCACAGGATGAAGCCAGGAAGAGAAGCAGGGCAGGGGAGCCAGCAAGCTGCACGCCGGGCTCCGAGCACATCACAGAGCTCTTCGTCTCCTCCAGCTGCACTGCTGGAGGCCGATGAACCAGCTCCTGGACCACACAGGAGAAACAAACACCTCCTGCATCCTAGCACGTGTAAACAGGGCCCAAATCCTGACCCTCCAACACGTCCGATCTGTTCTCCAGGCCAAACACGCCTTTGCCTCCTCGCTGCTCAGCCTCCACAAGCAGCTGCTCCAAAATACGCCTTTTTTTTTTTTTTTTTTTTTTTCTTTTTTGCACTGCAGGCACTGCCTTTTGGTCCATTTAATGCATTCCACCTACTCCATCACCCAGCCCTTTAGAGACAGGAGCCGTTTGCTGTGGGGCAAGACGCTGTTGGTCACCCCAAACCTCCCCCTCTCTTCCCACTCCCTTCCTGCCCCAGGAAAATGACTTTAACATCACGAGTCCTTGGGACTGGTACTCCAGAGAGAAACCCAGGGCTTGCTCCATCTTCCAAAGCTCACTCCACCCCGCTGCTTTCTTACCTCCTGGGTGGAGTCCTCGTCTGACGTTCCTTCCTTCTTGCCTCTCTATTATCCCCTGGTTTGGCTGGCTCTGGTGCAGCTGCTGTAATTTTAGCGAGCGGCTGAGGGACTGGAAGGGCAGCTAGTTTCTTCACAGATTTTTCACTACAAAAAATCAAACATTTTCATGGGCATGATCAAATTCAGCAGATGACAGAAAAACAGGCATTTCCAAAAGTGATAAAACACACTCACACTTGGTGCTGACCCATCAGCTACAATTACTGTAGCTACAGACACTCGGAAAACAAAGCTGAAATACCACAGGTTCACTGAAAGGGATTTGTTTCCACTATTCTAAACCAAGTCACCTCTCCAGGGACAAGTTCCTATAAAACAGCCAATTTTGGATAAGTTTCCTACTTGCAAATCAACTCATGAAGCAGACTGTGCAGAGCACTGTTGTTCCTAAGCCATTTGAGTCTGTACTTCTTCATCCAAAACGCATATACCTACTTAAAATCTGTCAATCAGGTCTCAAAATCAAACTGCACGTGGTTTATGCAAAAAATGCTCTCTCCCCTCGCTCAGATTTGCAAGGTGCAAAGGAGCACACGCATGGAGATGTCCCTTTGACCTGTCCCTGGCTTGCCTTACCCTGCAGGACAGTGGACGGGTGACCACTACGCAATGTTCTTGTGACTTTACACGGCACCCACCACGTGAGATGGGAATTACTGGGGAGCTGCTCACTTCTGGGGCTCAGAGCACTCCAACCTCCAGTCTCCGGGCTGGTTACTGCTCAGCATTCCCTGCAGTGATGTCACACCTGCTATTAAGCGGGGAGGAGGCGGCTGTCTGCATACTAAAATAGAGACTGTTAATTCCGCCTCTCGTGTTGAAGAATATCTGGATCCATCCCCTGCAGAGCACGCGATTAAGTACACGCGATGTTACGTGGCTAAACCAAGCCCCGTGCCGGTGCAGGCTGCTGGCTGGAGCTGTGTGTTACCAAACCAGCACCGCAATGCACACTGGAAGGGTGTAAAAACATTGCTGCAGGCAGGGAGCGTGTCCTTAAAGGGTTGACCCCTCTGAGTTAAGAGGAAAAAAAAAAAAAAAGCAGGTCAACAAGGTCCAAGAAGCCTGGCGAGGGCCATTGTCCCATATTCCAGAGAATTCAGGGGGATTCCCGTGGTGTAATTCATTTGCAGGTCACCTTAAAAACGGTGACATCACTACGGGGTTGTGACACCCTCCAACGGACCCATAACTTACCGTGCATTACAAGGGTTTGTGAAACAGCAACTTCAAGTATTTAAAAGAGCGGAGGCATAATCTGCTGAACAAACAGTCTCATGGCTACAACGCTGTTTTGATTTGTATCCAATATTAAGAGTAGAGGAGCCTGACCCACTTTGTTATTCTAAGGCTGTGCATTAACTAAAGCCAGGGTAGGTAAATGAATTAAACTGTCGCACAGCTCCTACGTAAGCGTATCTGCACACACACAAAGTGTAAATAGCAAATCGTGCGTGTATTTAAACACGCAGCTCTCCATACGCTTCTTAAGGATACTTGCACAGTTTAACTTGGTTTTAGTTAAGTGAGAGTGCCATCGTTTAATCAGCCACGCAAAGCTACACGCCATTCTATGGAGGTCACGTTTTGCATCTTCCATTTCTTCCTTAAACTCTCAGGCAGGTCAGAAGGGTCTGACTCAGGTCAGGAATTAGGCTGCCGGTTGGAGGCTTTTCTGGGCTGTGTTATCAGAACAGAAACAAAGCCTTACCCTTTACCAGCAGGTGGTAACAACTCCCCTTTAGCCTTCAGAAGCGGCTTGTGTGGAGATGGTGTTGGGGAAGGAGATGGTGAAGATGAGAAGGACCGTGACCTAGAAAGGAACGAGAGATCACTCAGCTCAGTCTTTGGGGCTGCAGAAGGTTTTCGGTCTCCTCAGCAGTGCACTAAGCCCACAACTCCCTCCTTCGGCTGGTGACTGCATTTGAGGAACTAGTCCCAGTGAGCCTGAGCTTATCCTAGTTTCGTATCTGGACTCTGCTGAGAACAACAGGTTGTGTCACCAGGCTGGCGGTAGAAGCAGAAAACAAAAGGAAGAAAATACGGATGGCTGCAAGGAAGAGCCACCCTCAGATATTCCACACCAACACCTGGAGACTTTCTCCATATTCTTTCCTTGGGGGAAATACGTCTGAAGAATAGTCAGTAGGGTTTTTGACTTGCAAGTTCAGCATGATTTGCTTCAACTGAGGCTGGAGTGGGGTGGTTGGGGTATCTCAGCCTGCTCCGCTAGAAAACCTAGGTGCTTGTGTCTAGAACAATCCCCACCTGAGCCTCTCCTGGAAAAAACACCTCTCCAAATGAAGCCATGCACTCTCACCAGCTCTGAGATCCACTCTGGCTCTGTGCATTTCAACCCTTAAGAAGTGTCTCCCGTCTAGGGAGCCAGTTCTCCTACTATGCATATTCCAGACTTGGGAAACTGTCTGCAGGGGCAAGGAAGTGGCAGAGTTATAAACATGCCTGCGTTTAATCAGCATGGGACACAGGATTGTTACTTTGAAGTGTCAAGACTATCACAAGACAAAACTGCATGGACTGCTTTAATAAAGAAATGTGATTTGCCTCTTTAAACAGAAATCCCAGTGCTATAGACAAGAGATGCCAATAGCTTCTTCCAACCACCAAATGCAAATGGAAACAGCCCAGCCACAGCAGCAGGGTACACGTGGGTGGGAGAGCTGGGGTGGCTGACATCTCCTTCATTCAGCGACCGAAACAACACCCTGCCTTGCAGTCTACCCTATTTAGCTCACACAGGAAAGAATTTCAAATATTTTCTCTTGAGAGCTGGCTATTTGCTTTTAAGTAGCACCAAAAGTAGCTGCTAGGAAGCGTTTGGGACACAGCGTACCGTTACCTGCACAGAGCCATTACCTGGACCTGCTGCCTGAGAAAGAGCTGTGTCGTGAGGAGCGGCTAGAGTAAGAGCTGTAAGACGACGATCTGGAACGAGATCGGGAGGAACCTGACCCCGAATAGCTGGACGACCGAGAAGAGGACCTGCAAAAGAAGTATTGAAATTCAGTGCCTCTCAAAAAGTCCTGGGAGACCGAGGAACACTCTTCCCAAATTCTCAGATGCTGCTCCAAAAGCTGCCCACCCTCTCCACAAAGGACTGCCAGGACTGCAGTCTTCCCTCAGTCCCCACCCCACTTTTTCTTTTAGAAATAATTCTGTTGCTGCTGGAGCCCTTTGCGTCCTTGAACAGGCTTCCTTCCCTTTAGCTAATGACTTTCCATCCCTTTTTGAGACCTCCTTCCACACAATTTTATGGCTTTTCACTGGACAATCCTCCTGCTCGGCTGGGTCACACGTGTAGGAGAAAAGAGGGAAATGAAAGGTGCAGCGAGTCCAGTGAGAAAAGCTATCTGCTTCAGGAGGGCTTTGCTTTATAAGATCCGTATCTTCAATTCGCCGTGTTCCTCATTCCTCTCTGATACATTTTTTCCTCTTTGCAGGAGCTTCAAGTTCAAACGTTTACAGGAAATGGATGCAGCTTATCACAGAATCACAGAACGATTTGGGTTGAAAGGGATCTTTAAGATCCAACCCCGTCAAGGACAGGGAAAACCTTCCACTAGACTAGGCTGCAACTCCATTCTCCTGGATTCGTGGTGCTTCCTTCTGAACAGTAGATTTTATCTCCCGTGCTCTGATTTCTGAGCCCCCCTGCAGCACTCTAGGGCTCCTGGCGAGCCTCCTTGACCCCAGTTCTCCCCCAGCAGCAGCACGCTCTTCCTGGAGCAGGCTCCCCTCCTCTCTCTAGCACTCCTGGAACGAAGATGCTCCAATTCCTACAGCTTCCACCTCCTTCTGCTCCTATAAAGCTCAGTTCTCATCTAGACGAGCTACGTGGACCTACATCTAAGTCTAATTTCCCTTAATAATTATTTTTCCAAGGACCTGCTCCCCTTCTTACACCACCTGCTCACAAGAAAGAAGCACACCACGTTCCTGATGCCCCACAAGACCTGGAAGTGACGTGCTCTTCACCATCACTCACCTTGAAGAGCCCGAAGCAGACGCCGACGAAGCGGAGGTTTTTCGGCGCCTGCGCGCGCGGCTGGGCGAGACGGAGAGGCCGAGCTTCTTTTTGGGGGACTTGGACCGGCGCCAGGGGTCCTTCCACTCATCCGCCCTCTTCGACTGCGCGGCGGTAATGGTGGTCGCCTCCTTCTCCTTCTTTGGTGGCTCAGGCTGGCGGCTGGAAAAGAAGAGAGGAGTTGAGATGCTGGGGTTGTTGGGGTTGTTTTATGCCATAAGGCCAGCAGAAATAGATGTCAGGAATTCACCCTGCATACTCGGACTCATTAAGTCCCACTGCGGGATATACAGCATCATTTGGGGCAGGTAAGTATTAGAACAGCTATTGTTCTATTGGTTAGAAGTGGAGCAACCTAAATCTGCCCCCCAGTGCACCAAAAATCCTGCACAGACCCAGGCTGAGGACAGCCTTGGGGCGTGCATCCGAAGCTCCATCCCAACGGAGCCAAGGTGCTGGAAAAAAGCAGCCGGCCCTAAGAGAAGAGCTTCAGCCTGAATCACTTTGAATCACTTTCCTCCAGCTCCCTTATCAGGGCACCACGTGGGGCTGTGTCACGAGCCTCACCCCGGCCGAGGCACGCCGAGCCATTTTGACCCACACGAAGGGGACACCTACCTCCCGGGGGCTGTTTTATCACCGCGTTATTTTATCACGGCTGGACACGTGCTCTCCTGGCTCCTGATAACCATGTTTCTTCCTTCCCCTTCTTGGGGCTCAGGCTGTATTTAACCTGTTTCTTTACCCTGTTTTTTTTTTTTTTTAATTTATTTTTTAATTAATTTTTTTTTTTTTACCCATTCTCAGGGCTTCCACTGCCCCACAACCCTCTGAAAAAAAAAAAAAAGCAACCAGCGCTAACTTTTCAGCATCCGCACGGGATAGTTCCTTAATGAGTTTCTTCAGGCCCGGGCTTTATCGCATCTCTTATCTACGGATGATTTAACGTGGGTTTTTTCCTCACCCTGACTCTAACCTGCATATGACTGGTCAATTACCTGCTCGTAACCTTCTTCGTCAGGTTTTAGGCAAAGTTTATGCTTGCTTAAAGGTTTATGAAGCCTATTGCGCTCATCAAATTACCCGTATAATTATGCCTTTATTCCTTTTCTCCAGCTAATGAACCTTCTCACTCGGAGGGTTTGGGGGAGGGACAGCACCTTCCAGCCCCGGGTTCAGCCAGTCCCACCCTATTAGTCACGGCACCGTGAAGCAACCACTCCCCACACGACTTCCTCTACCTTTCGAGATAAAAAAGCAACCTCCAAAGTTTTCTAATAATTCCACGGATTACGTTTCTTGCCGCAATTCGTTTTCAGCAGACGACAGGGTAATTAAAGCCCTTCATTAGCAGCCTCTTCTTCCCTTTGAAGGCTTCACCAGTCCCTAGGGAGCCTCATCACCTCCTGGTTTGGCGCTACCAAAAGCTTCCTTAACTCAGTTCAACTCCTTCCACCTCTCAACCCCAGCCAAACCTGCACACGCACGGTGTCCTGCTCTTTCCCTGTCTTTCCTGATACAATTCCATCAATTTTACCATTTGTCCCACATTTATCTGCACGTACAGAACGCTGGAGGGGAGAAACTCTTCTTTCATGCTCACTGGTCCCACAAATCTCACTCCAGCCCCAGAAGATGCTTCTGAGGGTGACGTAGCAGCACACAAAATTGCTGACTGCCGACTAAGAGAGCCCCAAGCAGGCTTATGGCTCAGCATTATTCACCGGGATCTAGTGTTTAGCATCGTCACCCTTTCCAGAGCTGCTCCAACGCACGCCGTGTAACGCATCGCTTGCCGTGGGCTGGTCTCGTTGGCCAGGGTACATCTGCAGCTCCATCTGAGTACCTGATCGCGGAGGAAGACCATGATTCCAAACACTGAGATAGACCTGACCTATTAATTAGACTCTGATAAGGCTGAATAGCCCTCGCTGGGGCTGAGAGGGGAAGGTGAGGTACAGCCCAGTCACCTGGTGCAAAGCAGCAGCAGCAAGGAGGAGGAGAGCGCTGCGTGAGGATGCCAGCGGGTATCACTAGGCTGTGTCCCTCTCCGGTGTCCTCTCCTGGGGTTTTGGGAGATGCAGAGGGAATATTCTGCTGGCACAGAGGCAGCTCCCACCTCGAGGCATGGATAAGAATCCCGCAGCAGTTCTAGCTAGGAAAAACCTCCTACAGAATCTCTCTTTCTCTCAAAAAGAGCCCAAATCTGCCCATGTCCACAGCCTGGGTGCCGAGCCCCTGCTCAGACCCCACGTGGGAACAACTCGCGCTTAACTCTAAGGTTTGGAGCAAAGGCGACTCGGAGAGCAAACCTCATTACTCGCACCCATTACCTGGTTTGATGCAATTCTCTCCCGGTGAAGTCACTTTCTGGAGGAGAGCTTTTTTTCCCCAGGAAAACCACAACAGAAAGCCTCCTTTTCTGGATACGCTTTGCCTTTTGACTCAGCAGCAAACACGTCACCTTCCTACAGCCCCGAAAGCAAGGCGCTGCGCGTGTCAGGACATTCTCCAAGTCTTTCCCCGAGAGCTGCCCGCGTGCCCGGCATGCAGCATCACCAATAAACTTCTTCAGCTTCACACAAGGGACCCGCATCCAATGCCATTTGGCTCGCCTCCTCCAGTGGAAGTCGGGAGGCAGAATTGAAAGCAAAGCTGAGCAGCTGCCAAGCTCCTCGCCATCTGCCTCCGAGTGATGTCCTGGTGACAGCCCAAACAGTCGGCGTTTCAATCACGTTCAGTGCTGCAGACCGACGGGGTGCACTCGTTGGGGTGAAAGCAGAGGCTGGGAACGGGGCTCACCGAGGAGAGGAGAGGAGAACAGGCAGGGAGGTGGCTCGAGCCCAGGGGGCTGCCCAGCATCACACCGAGCACCATCGCGGCTCCTGGTGCTGTGCTGCTGGGGGGCTTTGTGCATGGTTTCATCCCAGGGAAGGCTTCCTCCTCCTCCTCCTCGCTTTCACTCTTGCGACTGGGTCATTCCCACTTCCCGTCCCGTGCTGGATGTGGCACTGCTCAGAGCCAATTCACCTCCTTGGTTGAAGAGGGAGGAAAAATAAAAATCAAGAGCCAGTTTCCTGCTGGGTTAGCGAGTCCAAGTGGCCCACGGTGGGGACTGAACAGCTGCTGGAGCTGGCACAAGGCTATCAGAGCGGGGAAGAAGAGAAACCTTTACTGTTTTGGGGTGCTGAGCCATGAGGTCAGGTCCTGTGCTTTACGAGCTCAGCCTCAGACGAGCGCACTCTGCAAACCTGCTGGCAAAGGAGCCGCACGAGACCACGGCACGCGTGCGAACCCAGGGCTCCTTTTTCACCCAATTCCAACTTTCAGGACACGTAGGAAAATCTTTGAGAACGAACTCCCTAATTAGCTGCATGACATCAGGTTTAAGAGCTACAGAAGGAGCAAAAGGGGCTGAGAGGATGGAGTGGTAGCAGCTCTGTTTCCTTGCAGCGCCCGGAGCAGCAGCACCGTGCGTCACCGGGGCACGAGCACGGTCCGCAGAGCGCAGCTATTTCCGACGCCCATTTTGACCTTAAAAGAGCTAAAAGCTTTATTTTCCAGAACGGAGACGTTAACGCAGAGTTGGCTGGGGCTCAACTACAGCAATCGAGCGGAGCACTGGAGCCGAACGCCGCTTTGGCAGCGAGGAGGAGCAGCTCCCGACCGCCCCGTGCGCGGCGCGGCACCGAGGAGCCCGCCAGGAATTCGGAGGGGGAAGCGGAGCCGCGTGGCCGAGCCTTCCTCCTCCTGCTTTTATGCAAATGACGCCGAAGCCTTTCTAATCTCAGCCGGAAAATAGGCTTCCCAGGGAAAAGTGCTTCCTTCCTTCCCCCTCCCGGGGTGACGCCGCCACCCCGGGTAACGCAAACCTTATCGCTGACGTCGGCCTGGCTCCGGGGCTGCTGTTTTGGCCGGCAGCTCCGGCTCGATGTGCTCAGAGAGGAAAGTCCGGCCGTGCTCTCGAGCCCTTTCGTCTCTCGCAGGGAAGCGAGGGTTGTGGCACCGGCACAAGCTTTCCTTTGGTCTCGGTGGAATTTTCCAGAGGAAGTGAACTCGAGGAACGGTTGGAGGCACGGTGAGGGCTCTGTGATTGCTGCAGAATGAGCTCCAGCAGAGCACGTGCACGCGGGCAGATTTTCTGTCTCAGCACAATAAAGTCACTCATCCCCAGTGCCACGTGTCCGGAAAAATACAACAGCCCCCAAAATCACCTACAGCAGGAAATCCTGACCCCTGAATCCAGTGTTCATGCCTACAGCATGGCCACTCGTCCTGGGGAGGCGTGAGCAAAGGTTTTGCTTCTCTCAAGGTGTTTCCATCTCAAGCAGGGTTATCAGTTGCTTAGGAAAGAAAAAAAAAAAAAGAAAAAAAAGATTTCTTCAAAGCCTGATGGGGAGAGGCTTTGAAATTAAATAGTGGAGATACAATCTGGAGTATGAAATCATCACAGCGGGCAGATAAACCTATCCGGGATGAGATCTGCCCCGAGGGCTGAGCATTTGACGCCTCGAGAGCCTTCTCCCAGCGGAGGTGCCCGCATGCAGCGATTCTCCCGTCTGCTTTAATAAAACCCAGCGTGTGGGATCTCTCCGGCAGCTCCAACCCCCGAATGCCAACGAAAAACACATTCCTTGAGATCCACATCTGAGTCACTAGATGCCCTTCTTCATCTTGATGTAGGGTTACGAAACCCGGCTCCTTCTGCTGTGGCACAACCTCAGGAACCACGAAGACGAACGAAAACTCCAGGCGACAGCAACGCTCCGTGGAGACCTTCGACAAGCTTTGCTGCTTTGGTTTGTGGAGCCTTTTTTATTATCGCCAGCTTCCCAAACGAGCCAGGAGAACAAATAAAAGCTGAGCTAACCAGGCTCCATCGCTCGGGCTGGAGAGAGGCTGCGCCGCAGAAAATGGGGATGTAAACAAGTTATTGCAATCCCTACCTGCACAGCATCACCTCGCAGGGGCTGCAGATCCCAAGGAGCACACGCAGCAGCACAGACACGTCCTGCAAGCAAGGAGGAGGAGGAGGGAAACCCTTCTGAGCATCGCAGCGCCGAGGAAGGCACGGCAGGGTGGCAGCGTGCAGAGCAGGAGCCCAGGTCCCGCTGCAGAGGACAAACCTCCCTCCAGCCTGGGAAACCCAACAGCCTGGGGCTGCTTGCTTTATTCTCTTACTTTGCTGCACCCCAAGAAGCCGCCCGGAGGCCCGGACAGCACTTCTGTGCCTGCTGACAAACGCCACCTTTTCCCTTTGGTAACTTCTTGGGGATTTTAGGACTTATTTGGAGAGTTCCTGGGATCCACGCCTGAGCTAGAAGCAGGCAGAGCACACACCTCTCTGTCCAGTCTGCTTTTCCGCCTGTGGCAGGACAACAACTGTGAGCAAATAAAGGAGTTAAGAAGAAAGGAGCCAACATTTCTACCAGAAAAAATTAAAGACAAAGTCCACCAGCTGACCAACACCATATCCAGTCGGAGGAGATGCTGTTACAAAGCCCTCTGGAGACCTGCATCTGCCTGAACAACAGCGGATTTGTCCCAAATCTCTGCCAAAAGAGCTCAAAGAGCAGATCCAGTGGCTCTGATGGTGAGGGGGAAACCACCAGAAGCTATCCGGATTGGCGATAACGACCCCAGAACACCCAGAACTACAAATTCGTCCCTGAAACAAGTTCAGTCGGTTCGTGATCTCCCTCTCTCTCTCTCTCACACACTCATGAATCACTCCATTTGCATTCCCTTCTTTTTGCCACTCCTTTATCTAATCAGCCTCATTCTAACACTTTCTAACTTGCAAGCCCCGGGTAACCTGCGCTCATTGATTTGAGATTCCAGGTTCTCCTGCTCATTAAGGCGCTCACCCCGGGGACTAATAACGGCCTATTACAAAGGCAACGTGAACTAGCTTGAACAAGAAACCCAGGAGCTCTCCGAAAAGGGACCGCAGCCCTTCTGTCCCAGGGGCTGCAGCATTTGGGGGCATCTCAGGGGCTATCCCCACCTTGGGAGAAGCCGGGCAGAAGCAGAGGGCTCCTTGCTGGAAGGGTTTTCTGAAGGACTCGGGATCTGCTGCCCTTTCTGACATTGCTTTTAATTTGACAGCGTCCCTGCTTGCGAGGGTTATTTTTATTTTTTAATAGCTGCCTAAGTGCACTCCATCGACAGCCTCTAACCCAGCCGAGGCAGATTTCCTCCCGAAGGAGTCCAGGAGGCTCAGCAGGATGTGCTCCCAGGGGGATGCTGCTCCTTGCCCTGCAGCTTCGCAGCTCCCCTCACCTCCTCTTCACCCTCTGGGATGTCTCTGAGCTCAACAGCCTCCTCCTCGCCCCACCTGGGACTGGCACACGGCAGATTTTGGACCCCGTATCACGCGCCCAGCCCAAGCTAGCCCACCTGGAGATGGCGTTCAGGTCAGGCTGTAGGACAAACCTCCTCAAGAGCTGGACATCACCAAATTCTCACCTTAATTTGAATGAAGGCGCACTTTGTCAAGCTGCTTTTAAGCCCGGAGCACAGCACCCCACGCATGGAAAACCCAGTGCTTCTCAGAGGGGAGGAAGAAACCAAGATCTGTCTCAGCACCCTGGAGCACAGGATGGTCTCTTCTCCCTTCTCTTGGTCGACCACGACCTCGTGCTACCCACAGCAGGGCACGATCCTGCTGCCCTGGCCAGTGGGTCTGAATCCTCAGCACCCCTCGGTGCTTTGGCAACAAACCCAAGCCACACGACACCGAGTACGTTGCTTCATGCCCTGCTGAAACGCTCAGATTCACCGGGATGATGACGGGATAAAGCCCTGTGCAGCAACAGGAGGATTAAAGCTGTTATTTCTGCGGGCAGGGTCACAGCCCCAAGCCAGCAGCTCCCCAGATGCATCCAGCGCTTGGGTCAGAACACCCCGTACTGCCCCAAATCCCCTCCGACAAGGCGCTCCGTGCCAGCTCTCTGCCCCCAAAACGCTTTGCACAACAGCGAACGACAGCGGCGAGATAAAGAGGCAGAGCAGAAGTTTGGCACTCAGCAAAATCAGTCACAGCCCGGGGCACCAGAACTCGTTCTGGGGATGGGGAGCGCGGGGCCAGACAGCCGCCTTATCCCTCGGATCACAAGGTGTCCCGGCTTGTCTAAGGGTTCGATGCCTCGGGAGGGAGGAGGAGGAGGAGGAGGAGGAGGAATGATTTTACTAGCGCTGCAATCTCGGGTTGTAAACTTCTTGGAGAGCTCGTCTTGGGAAAAAAAAATAAAACAACCCGCAAACAACAAAGCACAAAGCGGCAACTGCCTGCTCCTTGCACCAAAACCTGATCCTTTTGTGACAATCCCACTCAAAGCCCCAGATCTGCAGCCTCTTCTCTTAAAGGACTGGATGAAAAACATTTGCCAGGCTTTGTGGTGTGTGTGTGTGTTGTTAAATCCCGATCCTCCCCACCTGAAGGAAACAGCCACGCACCAAGTCCTGTTCTCTGCTGTTCTCAGCCCTAACTCTGCTGTTTAGAGCTCCTACGCAGGCAGCCCGGTGATTAGGGCCGTGATTAGGGCCATGATTAGGGCCGTGCTCAGCTCTGTGATGCCTCCTGGTTGCAAAACCCCATGGAGCAGTGCTCCAGCAGGACAGGAAGCAGTCGGAGGAACACGAAGGGTGCTGGTGTGTGCCAGCCCCTGGCACCATAACGAGGGCACCTCGGGGGCTGAACCTGCCAAAAATTGGGATGCGGTGATTGGGGAAAGCACAGAGGCTATAAATAGAGCTGCAGGTGAGTGTTGTGCCACCGTGGTGCATCCTGCTACCTGGGGAACACAAAAACAATGGCAAATGTTTTACGCATTAAGCAAACTCGGGAGCTGCTGGATGCCCGGGTGCCAGAAGTGAAGCTCTGCAGCCAGCCCCGGCAGGAAGGGGGCTGGAGGAAAGGTGAGGATGCTCCAGCACCCCGAGCACTGGGAGGTCTGCAGCCCGTCAGAAAGGTTGTGTGGGACAAAAGCACGCTGCCCAGGGAGCACTGACCCTGTAACTGTGATAAAGGCTTTGGGGGAATAGGGAAACACAAAGTGTGGGATGAGGGGATGTCTTCGCCAAGGGAAATGTCAGCTGAATTATCAGCTCCCTATTCAACATCCAGAAATACAAGTGCTTCTCGCTGCCAGCTTTTGCAATGGCACAAAAGAAGCCAAAAGAAAGTCCTGCGTGTGCTTTGCCTCCCTCCTGGCTCTCTGCCTGGCCCTACAGGCACACCTGCTCCAGCCTTACAGCACAGGTCCTCGATGATCTGGGGAAGACCAGCAGAGTTAACGACTCAAGAAGCAAAGAGGCGTATCGAGGACTTGTTAAATTACCAAGACTCGTCTTCAGAAGGCTGTTCTGGAGAGACAAGAGGCACAAGTTCTTCCCCACAGCCCTCCCCGTGACCCAGGTGTCAGGGGGAAGGAGCAGCCCCAGCCTTGCGTGTGGTGATCCCGGGCACGGTGACGGCTTGTGACTGCCAGGCAGCTGACGTCGCTCTCCCCATCAGCATCATGTGGGTCTGGGCAGCGAAATCTCTTCCATCACCGACCCAATGAGAGCAGAAAGCCACAGTCAATGTGTAATTAAAGCGCACAAATTACGGCTGTAAGTGAAGATGGTAATTAAGTGTAGTTCCCCGTCTTACTGTAAGCATCGTGCCACGGTTACTGCACCGGAGCGCTCACGAGACACAGTCAAAGTGTTCTGGAACTGGGACTTCCTCTTGGAAAATAAGGGTCACCATCAAACACCGGTTTTCCCATGTAGGATTACAAACAAAAACCCTGTGTCAGATCCAAGACTAATCCCTTTTCCCACCTGAAACCACCCAGATCCACGTGGCATCTTGCTCCAGGCCTTCTGAGCCCTGCTCATCCTTAAACCAGGCTCTTCCTTTTGTTCCTATTTCCCACTCTCCTCCAAGCCCCGGGAAGCAAAACACATCATCCAGAAGGGAAAAAAAAAAGCATCATCCAGAAGGAAAAGCTCCAGAGTCCTGGGAAATGCCTACCCTACACCTCCTCACCCCAACACACTTCTGTGCACACCATCAGAAGGCTCCACCTGCTTTTGGTTCCTAAGGTACCAACGTTGCTGATCAGCTTCCCAGATGTGTTTTAGCAGGGAATATGATTCTTTTCCTTGATTCTGAATCAAAAGGTGCTCAACATTAGGAATTCCCATAAGACAAGTTCCATATTCAGCTCTGGTATTTACACGATGCTTTACAACACGCCTCACGCACAGCCCATTAAGTCACTGTACTGGAGGAATCAACAAAGAAAACATGATGTGTTTTTGGAATTCCTAGGCTTTTAGTCCATCTGGTGCAATTTTCTCTTTCACACAGGCCAGAACATGAATTTTCAGAAAAACTGAACAAATTGAGGCAGTCAGAAGCAAGAAACCTAACTCCATACCCCAATTCCATCCTAACACCAGGAGAAATTGGTTTCAAGGCAAAATCCATTTACCTCTTCTAGTCCCATTTAGGAGTTTTCTTTAATGAAACTCCAGATCCTTTTGTTATCCACAGACTCCCAAACCAGCCCTGGTTCCTGTCAAAGGGCATTTGTCAAGGCTGCAAAGAGCCAGCACCATCTGCAGGACTCCCAGCTGGGGCCTCGGCCAGCCTTCCACCATGCCCTAACCCCAAGGGATCGGGGACAGGCTGAACATCTCCGTCCCTCGGGGACTGACAGGGCCCTTTCAGCACCAGGTTACGCTCCCTGCTTCTTATCTGATGCTTTAGCTCCACTTAGTGGCCAGCAAGGCTCACGTAAAGCATCACCTTGCTCTCCAAACTACAGCTTGACTGAAGGGCTGCGGATAATCGGGGTCTTCTCCACGGATGTGCACGAACCTGGATCCGCAGCTCCATCAACACCAACCAAAATGAAGTCAGACCCGAAGCCAGCACTTACCTCGGTAGCAGCGGAGACCGGGGCTTTGGTTTTTCCTTCTCCTTGTCACGCTCCCTGTCCCTGTCCCGGTCTCGGTCTCTGTCCCGGTCCCTGTGCTGCCTGTCTTTTTCATCTCTCTTCACTCGCTCCCTCTCGCGTTCCCACTCTTCTTTCCTCCGCTGGCGCTCCTTGTCGCGCTCGCGCTCCCGTTCCCGTTCTCTCTCCCTCTGGCGCCGCTCCCGCTCCCGTTCCCTCTCCCTTTCTCGTTCCCTCTCGCGTTGTCGGTTTTCTCGTTCCCTTTCCCGTTCTCGCTCTCTTTCCTTTAAAAAGAGAAAAGGAGAAATCATTGCAGCATTGTGGTAACATCCAAAAGCGCAAGGTTTCAAAGTCACAGACTTAAAAGCAATCCCATATTCCCTCCCGCATTAGGGCATAGAGATAACCCCAGAGCTCGTTCCATCGCTGTTTCCTGAGCAGAGAGGAGCTGGGGAGGATCAAAGCACCACATCACATTCACCACGGTTATAATTTTCAAAGGCAACAACAGTCTCCAAGCCTAGTTTTGCTTATTATGCCCGTTAAAGGAACGTGTTGATGTTTACACGTATTTACTCAGAGTGTTCATCATGCTTATAACCAGCTAATTAATTTTACAAACAAGCAAGGTGACAATAATTGATATGCAGCAACAGTCGGGACAGGCTTCTGCACACCAGCAAAGCCTTACAGCAAAAAGTCAGCCACCTTTTTAGGGATGCTACTGAAGAGCTTACCAACGAGCAGGATTTATTCCTTCTGACACAGCTCTCAAGGCACAACAGCTTGCGTGAGGGCCAGAACGGGAAGGGAAAGGGTTCCAAGCCCTATTTCCACGGAGCCCTGCACCTCACAGCAGTGCCTGACTGCACCTGGGATTTCGGCAGCCGGGTGCTTTCCTCGTCTGACTCAAAGCAACTCACGAGCAACTCCTCCAGCAGCAGGCAGACACGCAGGAGCCTCCGCCTGTCCACGTCTAATCCCTTCCTAGGAACCACCGAGGAACCCGTTCTCCGCTCAGATCATTTCCTGGAGGCTCCCGCCCTCCCCCAAATTTCCGAGGAAGGCAGCACAACAGCCTCGTGCTCAGAGCAGCAGCCGGGGCACGTGTCACTCAAGGTTTAGCTACCTTTAGGATTTAGATTCAGCAGCTTGGGACATAGGAGAAAAATCCTAAGTGAGCTGCCCTGGAAACAGGAAGAGCACCTGGAAGAAAGCTGAAAGGGAAAGCGCGGAAGGGGTGTTATTACCTTACTTACTCTGTAGTTACGGTACGGGTCTGGGTCTGTGTACTGAACCCTGAAATTCTCATACTGCCCACCACGCCAGAACCGTTCTATGTCATAGTCATAATAGGGATCTGCATAGGGGTCAAGCCTACAAGGAAAAAGAGGGAAGGTTAGAAAGGGAAATCGACAAACGCTCCGTGTTCTAGGTCAGGCCTTAAGTCACTGCCCTGATAGGAAAACCCACGTTCCGGGGAATAGGACCATGGAAAGTGGTGCGTTCCCTACACAGCCCAAACAGACAGAAATGGTCTTTTTTTAAATGAAACTTATCCGAGAAAAATCACAACCCTTTCTGGATAAACACAAAAAGGACTGACCAAACCCAGCCTTCAAATCAATGCGGTAAAAACGCAGAAACATCCATTGCTTTTTACCAGCTGCTTCCAACGCAACGGAACCCGTTTTGCCCCATTGATTTCGAGCTGCATTTTGTGGCCCTGCACACAGAGCTACCTCAGGCTCCCTCCCCACGGGAACAGCAGGAGCAGAACAGGGACAGCTCCTGCTCCTCTGCCACCAGAGGTGAGGGGCACGTCCCAGCGCTGGCTGGAAAGGAAACAAAAGTGCTGCTGAGCCTTCTGGTGCAAGAAGTTGGGCTTTGGGGACAGGCTTGGCCCCAAACCTGAGGTTGCTCCATGCACTGAAGGTACCTGCAGCTGATATTCTCCAGTGGAAAACAGGCTCCAGCCCCCAGCATGCACGCGACACACCCTAAGTGCACAACCCTAATTCCTCTTGGGGAGGAAGAAGGTCTAAAACCCACCCCCTAAATGTGCAACATGTCCTCCGTTTAACCCCTTCTCTTAGGGTTATTTGAGGTTTTTAATTCACGGACCCGACAACACGCAATCCCTGCCAGCCACCTGGAGTGAAAATATCAGACCCGCTGTGAAGACGGGGAGGTGGGGACAGGGAACAAGAAACTTCCAGGGCCACAGAATGGCAGGGGCAGAACTGAGATCATAAAGCGAGCGCTCCCAGCTTGCAGATTATCTGCAACTGAGGCTTGACTCGTGAGCATGGGAAATAAACGGCCTGCTTTTGCACCCTAAGTGCCAAATAGTCCAAACGAGGCCGAGATGGGAGAGCTGCCCAGCAAGTCAAGTGGCTACCCATATTCCTTTCGATGCTTTTAATGTTTCCACTTCGCTGTCTGAAGTGATAAGCCAAGGGGAAGCGTGCCAGGAACTGCCAATGCCTAATTCAGCCACAACCCCCTGATGCCAACCATGCAGCAATATAGACTCAGCGACATCAGGTGTTCAAAAAGAGAAAAAGTCTCGAGCTACACCAAAAAGGAAGCTTTTACTTTTCAACCCAGCTCAAATCCGAATCGCCCTACTCCCTTCCTCTGATGTTTGGGGACTTTCTGTTCGTTTAAACAAGCGCCCCTGCTGTGCTTTGTGACAATTACTGATAACTCGGTGCTTAAACCCTCAGGTGAGTAATTGGTGTCACCCCAAAATCAAATCCAGCCGTCCTGTCAATACGCTGCCAGCCACACCTGACGGGGCAGCTGTCTGTGGCCTAGGAAGTTTTAAGAGGTGCAATGGAGAGAGGAAAGGGAACACTTTCGTACGGTTGCAACAGTACCGGAATCAAAGACCTGCTTACCCATAGTTAATGTTTTCTTTGATGTCCACCTCCCTATAGTTTTTCAAAAAAGAAAAAGGGATTTATGAACTATTCAGACATCTGCACAGGTCACAAGACAGTCCTGAAAGCATTTAATTAACATTCCAGCTCAACCACCAGTGCTTAGCTTGCTGCAAGGTGTCAACCCATGCGTAACGTGCATGAGAAAAATCACTATTTCTACAGTGTGCAGCAGTAACAGCTTTGTAACTTTTGCCTCTTTGCACAATTAATTTATTTTAATGCCACAGCCTGTTTATGCATAAAGATTCCTCAATTTTCAGAAATTCCACTTGTTTGCTTACTTCTGCTTAACACTGGCTACATGCAATATAACACTTTTTTCTGGACTGTATGAAAAAAAACAAAGCCCTAGACCTAAAAAGACAAATTGTTACGACTGTGAGGCAGTGGCATAAAACGAGCAGAAGGCTCACTGAAGATGCTGGTTTCCATACACAACTCTAAACCAGTTAATCCACGTGAGCACTGGTGATAACAAAGCCCCAGGTACAACTGAAAGCCTTCTCAGAGGAACAGAAGACCAAGGCAGAGTGATTTCTACACAGGTAAAGAACATCAGTATGGGGCAACTGCGTTGTTAGAGCTCGCAGAAGTGAGGAGATTGCTTCCTTTTTAAATCTGGGAGTGGAATTGCACTTGAGAGCAAATCAAAGCCTACTGAACAAAAAGCTTAACCTGCTCTTTTGCAGTTTTTTTTTTTTTTCTCCTCAATTCTTTCACTCAAAAAGATGGAGCCAAGCCTTGCAGACGCTTTGCTGTGAGTGGAAATATTGCCCAAGTCTGTACGTGCAGGAGGAACAGGGGATGTGTGTGCAAGAGGGAAATGTGCATTTACCTAACTCCTGCAGAACTCAAGCCTCTCTTTTCCATCCCACTTCTTGGCTGGAGAACTACCACGTAAATCTCCCAGAGCTGCCTGATGCCTCCTTGCTCCCGTTTCAGGCCACCTGCCTGCTCTCAATCATGTCAGGAGGGTGGCTGAGGTCTCCACCATTTTATGTTTTACCTCCTCCACCCTACAACTTAAGTTTAGGACGCTTGATTTTGCCCAGGTGATGCCCTGGCAGCTAACAGCTTTGCTTTCTGACCAGTGTCTTACTGAACAGCTTATCTGGGACAGGTCAAGGTGTTTTTTTAAGCCCAACTCCTGTGCCAATACCCTTGCAAATAAACATTCAGCCAGCTGCAACAGCTCTGCCCTGAAGCTCTTGGGCACTGAGCAACTTTGCAACCCCAACTTCAGCATTTGAAAACTCTCAGGGATTGGAATAAAAGCACGAAGAGGAAAAAAAAGTCTGGAGAATGTGCTGGTGTGAGGTAGGTACTATTCAAACAGTGTCCTTGAGGGGCCACTGTGCCAGTGATATTAAAGGTAGAAAGGTGTAAAGACTGCAAAGGGAAGAGAGTGTTTAAGTGGTGTGAGTGGAGGCAGCTCCGGTTTGTAATCGTGTGCAGACTGCTTAACAGGTGTTGTTTCCATTTTCTGAGCTGGGCATTCCTCTGATTTAGAGGCTCAAGTAACCTGAGGACTGCCACACTGCGCTGCACATCCCACCCGTTATCCCACGTAGCAAAAACAAAACTGGCTCTTACGCTGGATCCCTGACATCTCTGGTGATGCGGTAATTCCAGTCACGGAAAAACTCGTTCTCTTTGTCAAATTCACGCTCATCCTCTCCAATAGTCACAGTGAATCTCTTCTCCTCAAAGTCAGGCTCCTGTTCTTTTCTCATAGTAGCCTTTTTTAGTACCTGCCACAACACAGAAATGAAAGCACTGTTAAGAGAGGAGTTTTCAGAGACACAGAAATGGATGCATTAAAAATGGGAGAAGCCTGCTCCAAATTCTTCTGTTCAGGTCTTACGAATGTGCATGATAACAGAATGTTCTTGCTGCAGGGAGTGTAATTCACTGTTCCGCCAGCTCAGAGCAGCAGCAGACAGGCACTAAGCTTCAAAGATGCAAACCCCACTGTAATGATCAGACACACGGATCCCATAGGTGCCAGAAAAACAGGGGCTGAGGAAATGGAACTTGGACCAACCTCAGCTTTGTGGAGGGCTCGACTTCAACATCCCTGAACTACCCAAAAACCAGACCTGTGTGCCAGTTCTGTGCAATAACTGCTCCTTGCTGTTTATCACAGTAAGTTAAAAGGCAAAAGGAAGGCTCCTTAAAAAGAGGAAGACCCTACATGCTCCAAAAGGAAGCTCTGCTGGCAGTCCGTTTACCTCTTTAGCGTGCCGGAGTCCTCTCTCCCAGGCACTTTCTGTTGGAGGATCTGGAGGGGGTGGAGGTAAGATTTCATCCACGACTGGCCCTCCCTGTTAGAAGAGGAAGAAGACAGACATTCAGCATTAGTCCTAAGCAAGCACACGCTTTTGTAAACACCCTTAAGTACTTTGGAGATGCAGCAGCAGCAGGACAGAAGCTAGGACCTGCTTGGAAAATTATTCCCCTCTGCTAGGGATTTCAAGATTACCTTTTAAAAATCACGTACCCAACAGATGTATTGAATTTTGCTCAAGTACCAGCCCAAACAAAGCCTTCAGCTCCTCCTCAGGAGCCAAAAGCTTCGTGCAGAAGCCAGGAATTCCCACAAGAGGGATCCATACCCAAGGGTTGGCCGGCATCAGCGGGTGAGGGCCGATAGGTGGTGCGCCGTTTGGGGAGAAGGGCTCAGGCTTGGAGATCAGGGAGTAGTTTCCTTTGTCATTCACCCCAGGGTGTATAAATCGACAGTTCATGCCCCACGTGCAATGACCTGTGGAAATACAGAGTTTGGTTAGATCCCCGTATGCCTGAACACTACAGCAAGAGTTTCTGCAGCCCCACAACCACGTAGAGCCCAAGGAATGACGCCGTTTCAGATCCCCGACCTCTCTTCTCTCTGAATTTGTTGGGAGTTACCCACTTGAATGTTCTTGCCACCCCCAACCTCTCCGAGAGGGCAGAGTCAAGAGATCCAGTCGCAAATGGATGAATGCACAAGAACCTTATTATGGCAGGGAGCAGGAGTGATGGATGCACACACACGCCGTTAAGCAGACACAGTAATAAACCCGTGAGCTCTTCAGGTCGTGTTAAAGACAAACACTTTAAGTCAGAACTCCATCTTTTACAGAAAACAATGCCTCCAACCTGACAGCAAGGAAAACATCACAGCGCGTTCAGAATAAACAGCTCTCCGGTGAGGCACGAAGCACATCAAAGATTTCTCTCCAGCTGCCTCTGTGCTTGCCAGCACAACACAGGAAAGGAGACGCTGCTGAGGAGGGCAGCAGACAGAAACCTGAAGCTGCTCTGCTCGTTAGCTTCAGTCACCAGCACGGCAACACTCGGGGGGGCTCTGGCAGGAGACAAGGCTAATTCCTGATTTTAATTCAGCTCGTTTTAGAAACAAACCCTGTTTTTTCACCTGGCAATTCACTCTTCAAGCAAGAGACGTTCTGCAGATTTCACGGCAGACAGCCACACCGCAAAGGCATCGCTAACTCTCTGCTCTCTCGGGCAGTAACACATTGATTTCAGATGGAACGGAGCAGTTAACGCTGCCAAGACCCAAGGAGGAACCTCCCAGATCTCAGCTGGCAAGGCAGCACGTCAGAAACCCACGCTGCACCTGAGTAAGGAGCACTCAGTCCCTGGAAACGCTCCCCATCGGTCCCAGACGAACCACGAGCTGCTGCTCCCAATCAGAGGTGTAACACTGGCTGCTTTTGTGCTGTCAAATATAATAAGAGCACAAATCCCCTTGCACGGGAGCTCAGCGGCTGCCACGTCCTTTCTCAGTGACTGGCGAACGCCTGCCAGGAGAGGTCTGAGTGCTGGGGCTGTCAGACGCCTCCACCAACACCTCTCTCACCGAAATGTCAAGCTGGGGGCTCTGCTCCACGTGTCAGGGTGGCTGCACATCAAAAGCTGCCTCTCTGGAAGGCTTCCCAGCCAGTCACTCAAGCCACGGGACAGATGCAGCCACATGAGGGCTCCTCAGACACAGCAAGGATGAAAATCTTCCCTCCAGGTCGCACGTGGACGGCTTCCGAGCTCCCTGCTGGCACTGAGGCCTGCAGGGTGCACGCAGAAACGAGTGTCAGCGTTATCTGAACTGATGCCAGCTCAACGAAATCCCGGGGCAGGAGATTCTGCAGCCTGACCTTTGACTCAGGCGAACGCCTCGGTGCCGTGTGTCACGCTGGGGATTGAGGAACAACCAGCTCACCTCGAGCAGGGACTTCCCTGTTCCATCCTCGCGCCAGCACGCTGGGTGTCTCAGCACAGGCAGAAAATTCAGTGCCGGAAGAGGTTCAGGAAGCCAGGTGAGTGCTATCTGATGGTCACAGCGCTGGAAACCCCCCGAGCAATTCCCTACGTTGCAAACGCTACTGACGCAAGGGATGAAGGCTCCACCCTGCTTCCCCACCCTCCTTTTAGTTTCCGATTTCAATAAATTGTTCGAGGATGATTGTAAATAAAACAAAGTAAATGAGTAAACATCCAGGGAGGTGGAGCTGGAGGAAGAACTGAGCTATAAGCAGCTCAAATAAGACAACTTTCTATAAAACCTGCTGTTTGTGCTAGAGAATTGCAAGGCATCTGTCACAGTCACACAAACTTCAGGGAACGTCTCATTAGGAAGAATCAAAACAAGTAAGAAATAGAATCGGTTGGATTTAAAAGTCTCAAATCCTTATTTAAGTCTCACGTGCAGTAAGAAATAGGTTATGTGACTTCCTGCCCCCATTTCTGCTTGGCAATCTAAATCCTATTTCAGAATCGTAGTACCTGACACAGCACAGCGCAACCTTTTGGCTTGAAAAAAGAAAATAATAAAAAAATAACTGGGGCCAGCACGATGCCACATTATTTCTTGCAGGGAAACTATTTCCTATGTCCAATTAAAAAAAAGTCATCAGCGAATGCCTTTTAATAACTGGGGAAGTAAGCTGGATGTAGAATTAAAAGAAACAATTACACTTTGGCAAGGCGTCAGCTTGCTAAGAAATAACGAGACTTGCCACGTTGGTTTTCCAGGGAATAACATCACAGAACCTCTTTAAGCAATGGCTGGTTATTAAATCAGCCTGAGCAGATTTATTCCACGCTGTTTTCCTTTATTTGCTTCTGCCGGGCTCACCGTACCTGGGCCTGAGGTTTTTTTTTTTGCATATTGGCTCTATGTAAATCCGGCATCTGGCCACCAAGGAACAGAAAGGTGATACCAAGGGTGCCTGGGGCAGGGATTATTGTGCGGACAGCAGCTTAGCAGCTGCAAAACCAAATGAAAAAAACCTCCTGCACCTTTGGTTTTGCTTCCAGCACCACAGCACGCCGTTACCTTTCATGAAGAACCGGCAGGTGGGACGCTGGCCTCACTTTTCTGTCGCTGGGATCTTTAACTTCTCCCTCCTCCAGGTCGTCATCCTGGAACAGACAGACAGACAGGCTGAGATTTCACCACACGGTCACACAGCAGTCGCTGAAAGCACACCCCGAGGCACAGCATAATGGAAATTCAGTAAAAAGCTGTGATAAACACCCCGAGCGTGCTGCTACGAACAGGAAAACGGATCAAATTCAGTGCTTCAACCAGCAGGCGTTACGAGCATCTCGGTGCCATGCACAGACCAAGGGGCATCATTTTCCCCAATCTGTGCTTCCAGGCTCAAAAATGGTGTGGTGGATTAAGATATTGACAGCCTGCAGCTGAGTAAGGCTGCCCGATGGCACGTGGAAGGCAGTCAGGGGCAGCTTCACACAAATGAGACGAATTTTGTTACCTTCCCTTCCTAGGGGTGTGCACACTGGCAGCTACAGCAGCTCAGCTGGGCGATGCTGCCGCCCTCCTGAGCCTTCAAACCGCACCGTGGCACCGCTGGTGAGCCCCAAACAATCCCTTCTCTTAATTAATTGAAAATACAGAGCCAAATTCCTGCATACGGGCACTTAATGCAACAAATTAGTACAGACAGGATGCACATATGCTAAATTCTGCTGTCACCGCAGTGAAACACGAAATGCTTCAAGGTTGAGCAGTAATAACCCCATGAGCTCTCCAGGAACAAAGTGGGATGTATTTCTTCCCTGAACCTACAAATCGGCCCTAACAAAACTCGGTGTTATCCCCGCACAACACGGAGCCAAATTCTGGAAGCTGGAGGCTTCTTCAGAGGTGAAGAACCACCGGGGATGAGCGTGGATGAACGGCCACGGGACAACTCAAGGGGAAAGAAGCTGGAAAGCACCAGCCTTTGCCTTTGTTCTCCAGGAAAAAAAGGAAAAAAAAGCCTTTGCTGCCTTCGTTAGGCCACACCTGAGAAGTCAAAAGAGCTAAAAAGAGGGAATGATGCACAGAAGCCCAAAGTGACCTGAGAGCTGTCAGAGGTGGCTGGCGTGCTCCCAAGGAAATTGGTGATTTCTCCTAAAAGGCAGCATGAAATAAGGGCTGGGGGTCTCCTTTTCACCCCCCAGAGGCCTTCCCACTGCACAGCCATCAGAACAACACCGTGGCCAGGAGAAGATTAAGAAAGTTGTGAACTTGGGTCAGTTTAACAGCTGGAAAAGAGGAAAAAAACCATTGTTTTCTCTAAAGGGTCTACGGAGAGCTGGGTTAACAGCCTCTTGTGGGGCAGCCCTTTTGGGGCGACACAAGGAGCACTCTCCTGAGCGAGAACTGATCTTACAGACACGTGGCTTCACATTAAAATCTGTATTTCTGTCCCCCCTCCAAAGACAGAAGTCTGGAAGCAGAAGAAAGCGCCGAGATTGAGGATTTTCCCCCAAAGCCGGGCTGGCATTCAGGGATGTGTGAATGGCATCAGCAGCTCGGCTCCTTTCACAAGGGCCGTGTGAAGGCTGCGCTAACAAAAGGGGAAGTATTTATTTCTGTGGGGTCTCCTTGGAATCAGGCAGCTGGGAACCCCTGTTATGAGTTAACGTATGAAAACCAGACCACGGATTCATCTCGGGCTTTGTAAGGAGAGCGCTCCTAAGAATGCCTCGGATTCGAAAGGAAAGCATTCATATTTTAATCAAGAAGCAGGCACAGAATCAGGACTCCGGGATTTTCTTTTTCCTGCTTGGACTCTCCCACAGCACGCAGAAATTCCTTCTAACTGAATCAGAAACACGCGACTTCCAGAGGCTTTCTGAAAATACCCTCACAAAACTGCCTGCAGAATGGGTACAGTGCAGAAAACCAACGTCACCTTTTAAGAAAAGCAACACAGAACTTGCCAAAGGACCATTAAAGTTAAAAAAAATAAATAAAACAACAGACAAACTTATTTTTTGGGGTCAAAGAACAGCTGATTACGGAGCAAATGGTTATCTTCTGGTCCTAAGGGAACCAGGTAACCACCCACCTGTGTGTGTGCCATGAAATATCACGCTGCCCCAGCCTGGTCTGCCTGCACGGGGGCATTTTTGGCAGGGGCAGGGAGGAGCAGAGCCAGCTGATGCTCTGGGCTGTCTCAGCGAGGGACCTACCAGCACCAGCCACTTCTCTGCGTGGTGCCCTACACTCCTGCTGTTTGGATTTAAGCACAGTGTTCACCACCAGGAAGCTACAGGAGGATTTCTACTCTCCTGCCAGTCGTTGTGTCCTGTTTGCAACAGGGACCTGGTGTTAGGCTACGTTAAATCCAGCTGCTGCACTGCAGAGCTCCTTACCCAAAGACAAACAGGGAAAAAGCACTTGATTTTTTTTTTTAAATAGCCTGACAGCTCGAATACGGAGCCACCCCACAGCTCCAGCCTCTCAAAGGAAGCTGCTGAGGCAGCTCGTGATCCCCTAACCCCTTGCTAAGCAATTTGCTGTCAGCATCATCCTGAAGTCCTCCGAGAGCCAGAGCAGAACAGTTTCTTAAAGCATTGGAGCTGCTCCATACCAGGCAGGAAAAAACTTGTTTGCAGCTGCTCCAACAACATGTGGCACAAAATTTTTTTGTAAGATGTGGCAATGGGTGCCCCAACCTCTGAGTTTAGGGCTTGGCACACAGCGTGGTCTTACCTCCAAGGAAAAAGCGTGTTAATTTGGGACCCAGCCAGCACGCTCAGGTGACAGAAGGAAAAAAGCACGGCATCCGAGAGGCAAATATTCAAACAAGGACAAGCCTCTGCCCCCCTCGGAGCAGCTCCTACTTACATCGATTTCACCGTCGTCAATCTCTCCGTCGTCTTCTTCTTTCTTCTTCTCCTTGACGGGATCCTGGCCGTCCTTCTCGTCGTCGCTTTTCCCGCTGGATTTCTTCTCGTCCTCGTGGGCGTCGTCTCCCTTCTCCTCTTCCTCGTCATCCTCACCAGCAGCTTTCTCACCATCCTCCTCGGCAGCAGCAGCGCTCGGCTCCTCGGGAACCTCCTCGTCATAGTCCAACTCGTGCTCGTCCAGCTCGCGGGTGACGGAGGACGCTTCATCCCCGAGGTCGTTGGTGCGCTCTTCCTCCTCCCCCTTGCGAGGCGGAGGGCTCTTCAGCTCCCCGCTCCGCTCGTTGTTCTCTGAGTCCTGAGACTTGGCTTCGCTCAAGCGATCCTCCTCATCCGAGTGGTTCTCCTCTTCGCCCTGACTCAGTCCCCGGGCTGTGTCTTCCTCCTCCTCTCCCAGGACGCTGCCTCGGCCGCCCTCTCCATCGAGCTCCCTCTCCGACCCGCTCTCCTTCAGGGCTTCGTCATCGGAAAGCCGCTGGTCCTCCTCGCCGGGAGAGCAGGGGTTTCGCTCAGGGCTGTCGGAAACTTCCATCAGTACCCAATTGTCTGCAGAGGGTAAAAAAAAAACAAAAAAGAAAAACAAAACACTTGTTATGGGGAACAAGCTGGGAAACCGAGAAAGATTTCCCTTGATTCGCCTTGATTTTTGTCTCCTAAATAAAAAAACAGTTGAATCCATGAACACAGTTAATCTTACTACCTTCAAGAAGAAAACAGAGTTTAAATTACTTAAAGAATTTATTCCAGACTAGATAAGAGACCCTTAACACACAGGGGTACAGCACGAGGCTGGGATTTCAGCTACAGGCTCTAGCAGGTGAGCTGCAGCAGCTCTCCCACCAAGCAATCCCCAGGAGTCCCACGCTGGTTTTCTCACCCCAGGCACACTCGGTGGTGGCATTCCTTTGCCACCAGCTTTTCAGACGTTTTTATAACCATAAGCACACGGCGCTGCAGACAGCACAGGCTCCCCGGGAGGCAGGGACACCATTTACAAAGATTCTGGAAAAAAGAGCCCATATTCTGTGAGTCTGGGATCTACTTGCACTGGTTTTTACACTGCTTCCAGAACAGATATGAAAACGAGGATAGGATGCATTCATGAAAAATCCTGGACTTCTAATCAAGGTTAATTATTGCCAGCTAATCTCTACCTGCTTTATATAATAAGGAATCAGAACTTCTTCAAAGCAGCAGCAAACTTCTCCAACAGGTGCTTTTCCTGGGAGTCCAACAGGAACGTGTGCTTGGTATGAATACGGGTTAAAAATCCGACCTCTGCTTAGTGCAAGCATAATAAATGCAACGGACATGGACGAGATGTAAAGCAGGGAAAGCAAAAACAAAGCAGAACCCGTACATTTATTTCTTTTACTCCAGAACACATAAATTTATAGCAGGACTGTGCAACCCAGGAAGCGGCTGAGCCCCGGCTCCTCCTGGTAAGATTCCAGCTCCACAGCTAGACAAAAGCTCACGGTGATGAAAACCCCTTGCCCCCTGGCTGTGGGCTGCTGCTGTAGCAAATCCTTAGCCCTACTAAGGAGACACGGCCCCAATTCCTTCCTCACCCCCTCAGCAATAACCAACAGTGCTCGGCTGCCTCAAAAACCAAACTGGGGTGGCCAGAAGAGAAAAGCTGGAGGCCAAGCAAGGCTTAGAGAAGCTAAAGAAAAGACCTGGGATTATGAACCGACAGGGTTTCTTCCCCTTATTGTGCATCACGTTTTATTTCAGCCACTCCCAGCTACAGCCTCCCCAAAAGCACGTTTACTGCTGGAGCAACCAAACCACGGCATCAGCTGCCGGGTTTTTACCCGCTATTTTTAGGATAAAAGCCACCATTCTCTGCTGTGCTCCTCTGGTTCAGCACAGGGGGGTCGCTCTTGCTATCACTTATGGCAAAAGACAGGCAGGCTGAAGGCACACCAAGGACTGTCGTATTTATGTCCTGGGCACTGTCATCGCTGCGATAACATCTCCTGCCTTCCCCACAGCGAGGACATTATCAGCTGGTATTTGCAGCAAGCTCCCCAGATGAAAGCCACTCCGGAAAATCCTGCTCCTCACACCTTGGGAGCTTTGCAGAGGGACTAGGAATGCGCCTCAAAAAAATAAAAGCACAGAAACTCTCCCCAGAGCAGTACAAGTATGTATAAATCTTAGTCCCCTGTATCTGAGCTCTCCAAGTTGTCAAAGCCCTGCAAAAATATCAGCCAGTTAATAAATGTGCCCACCGATGGAGCCCTGGGGAGCAGCAGGGTCACGCTGGGAGCTGCCTGCGAGCTCCTCCTGTTTCTCTGCACTCTGGAGCAAGTCGGGTTCTTCCTCAAAACCAAAGCTGTGCTTCTGCTGAAAAGTTAAAAACCCAAATTAAAAGACAGCGAGTGCCTCTGGGCACTTAAACGGGATGGAACCTGAAACAAATCCTTCCTGAGCGCAGAAAGGTCGCTGCCGAGCTCATCAACGCTTTGCACAAATTGGTGCTGGCTTCGAGAGCAATTTTATGACAGCAATTTTAATTGCCGAAGCGCCTGGGAAGTTACAACCTCGCGCATCACACGTGGAAGGTCAGCCCTGAGAGGCCAGCAGGACTGTAAAAAGCTGTCAAGCTGGGATGCGGCTCAGGAAATTTGTTTTCTGGTTTCTTCCAAATAAGCAGCACCAAAACAAAAGCTTTTAAGCAACCGAGATGCCTCCCTGCACTCGACACCGAGCCCCTCAGAGGGCTGGGAAAGAAAACAAATATGAATTTTTCACCCCCCAGCTGAGCTGATGAGCATAAAGCACTCACCTCCACCGGCAGCTGTTACGGGCGTTATTGTAAGCAACTGATGCACGGAGGTTTTTTTTTTGTATAATTTCCTACTCATTTCCATCAGCAGAAATGATAAGGAGCACAATCAGTGACAGCCGGTTGAAAAGAGCTCACAAAATCCAAGCAGCCTGCAAGACGCTTGATTTAACAGCCCCGCAGAGGGCTGAGCAGCTCCTCGCCAGGTCACTGCCAGGGGTGATAACGTGCCCACTGCCATTCCTCACCCTGTGCAGACCCCCAGGACTGCAAGCGAAGGTTTAGTACCACAGAAACTACCCTACCTGCATTAATTAAGTGATTAATTAAGAATATCTTATCCCTGACCTGATCAGTATTACTTGTAGCCTCTCATTCGTAGAGAAAAACCATTTATCCCCAGTCTCTGGAATCCTGCAGGTTATTATTATTATTATTATTTTTTTTTTTTAAATTCATCTTTTCCTTTCCACTCTGCTTTAATGACACCTACAGATGAATATCAGGAAAATCTGACTACGTGGAAGTCTTTTAAACTGAGTAATTCTGACATAAATGGTAGAGCAAAAATCCATAACCTTCATAACTCACAAGTTTGGAATTTGTGTGTCTTAAAAATTTCTTGCTGTCTTCAAAACTGGCCACAGAAGCAAAAAAAATAATTGTTAAATTACAGGAAAGATTGTTTGACTTGTAGCTCAGGGGCTGGGTAACAAAGCAGGTGTATAACAACACTTCCCACTTGGCAGTGTTTTATCTCAGAGGAATCTTTAAAATCACAGGTAGTTCAGGCAAAGATGACTTCGGTCAAAGCTGCTTTTATTGCAACACTGACTTCATCTGCTCAACTTTTAATGCTCCGCACGTCTGAAACAGACTAGTTCAGAACAGCCCACCCAAGCATTTTTCAAAGTTTGGAGAACCTTTGGCAGGCTTAAGAAGTTGGAACAGCCTTTCCACTGGGAGATTTTGGAAGGAGTGTAATGAGGGGGTGCACTTCTGGCCAAAATTGTGTCTTTTACCATCTCTAGAAGCACCCGTGGATGCCTCATTGAGTTGAAAACCCCTTAAAAGCAGCTCACATGATGTCTCAACAGAAAAATCGAGGACTTTGCAGCTGTCCCACGTGCAGTAAGCACACGCCAGCCTCCCAGCTGCCAGGTATGAGCTGGACAACGCTCACTGTCCCCACAAAAACCCCTCAGGTTGCTCCTAGGGGATCTTTGTGCCCCCATCCAGCTCCTGTCAGCTCGCAGTGGCCTGACCACAGCGCCTATTTTTGGCAGAATTTCTGTTTCTTCTTGCTCTGTTTCCAACCAGAACGTGTTAAAGCTCTGAGCCATGCCTTTAATTAAGCTGGCAAAGCTCAACTTTACACACCGCTGGCTGCCTTGCTGCTGGAGGCAGCATCCTGCGGGCACCGAAAGGCCCAACTTCCCTCTCACTCAGCACAGCACCTGTAAGATGCAGCTGGCAGCTGAGACGGGACCTGAAACCAATGACAGAAACTCCTGGGAAGCGTTCCTTTCATTCAGCACATTTCCCCCTTCGAGGTTCAGCCACAAAAAGCTTTTTCCCAATGAACACGGTGCAGGAGCCTACAGCTCAGGCGTTTCCAGAGGCACTGGGTACGCTACAGAAAACTGGATCTTGGCAGATCCATCAGCTTCAGTCTTTCAATATTATAAATCGCCAGGCGGATGGCAAGAACCAAGCTCAAACCCAACCTCCACAGCCCCCTGGGAGCTACCTCACAGCTCCCTGGGTGGCCACAGGACAGATCCCTCTGGGCAGGGGCCAAAGAAAGGAGCAGCCTGATGCAAAATCAAAATATTTCCATTAATGAGACGCATGAAACCATTGGTTAATGCAGGGCAGAAAAGCTCTGGAGCAGGGGCTAACTCTAGCCACAACTTTGAAGCTGCACAAGACACCCCAACGGCCTGGCAGCTGTCAGGAAAGCTTTTAATGCAGAAACCGAGCCGCCTTTAGTGGGAATTTAGGAGGATCGCTCGGTGACAGCCACCTGCAGCGAGCTGAGGTTTAAAGGTGAGCACAGAGAGCTCTGATCCAGAACGCTAACGCCAAGCCAAGCGGTGCCACTCTCTGCTTTGTCAGGCGGGCTCGGGGCTGGAACCCAAAGAGAAACGGAGCTGGAAGCAGCTGGAGTTTGTTTAGGGGTGGAACTGATTTTCCTACAGCTGGAGCACGCGGAGCTCTTCCTGCAGCTCCGTGCTAGGAAACGCTAATTGTGAGCGACCGGAGCCTTGGTCCCTTGATAAAAACCAAGTACAATTGCTCCTGCTTTTCTGTGGGATTTGGGAATAATCATAAAATCTAGCTCTCCTCGGAAAATTGGATCAGATGCCTTGCAGGCAGCTAGTGGGATTAGATCTCGACCCTTTTCCTTAATCTGGACAAACCTTAGGAGGCAGAATTCACCCCCTGGAGGTGTTCCTACAGCCAAAGCAGCAGGCGTTGCAGGAGAGCTGAGTTACTGCCAGCAGCAAAGGGAGAAAACGTTACTGGGGGGGGGGGGGGGTGACAGGAGGGCTGTGAGAAGGAGCTGGCCCTGCTGGGACTGCCTCACAGGGGGGATTTGAGCCCCTGCAGCAGCTTTGTGTTGCCCTGCGCCCACCACGAATCCTCCCCAGGGGGCTGCACCCCCTTTGTGGGACTGGGGAGGGGGGGATCCGGGACCCTAACGCCTTACCTGGGGGGGGAGCTCCTGCCAGGCTGGGCTGCGAGCGCTGCGCCCCGGGGCCGAGGCTCCTGCGGCTGTGCCTGCGGCCGGGGGACAGACAGACGGACACGGGGACACAGACGGACAGACGGACAGGGACAGACTGGACACGGTCAGCGCCTCCTGCGGCCCCCCAACCCCCTTAGACCCCCCCCCCAACCCCTTAAGGCCCCCCCAGCCCCCTCAGGGCCCCCCCCAACCCCTTTAGGATCCCCTAAGCCCCCTTAGGACCCCCCCAGCCCCCGCAGAGCCCCCCCAACCCCCTCAGCCCCCCCCCCCCCAGCCCCTTTAGGGCGCCCCCAACCCCCTTTAGGTCCCCCCCCATGCCCCCACCCCCTCACCCCAACCCCCCCCCACCCCCCTCCGGGCCCACCCCTCCCGAACCAGGACCGCCCCCCCCAAACCGGGCCCACCCCCCCCGACCCGGGGCCTCCCCCCTCACCCCCCCCACCCCTTCCCTTCCCCTCCCCCTCTCCTCACAGGCCGCCCCCCTCCCCCCGCCCACCCCCCGGCACTAGGCCGCAACCGGCGCCAGGGCGGGAGGCGCTGACCTGGGCGGGCCGGGCCGGGCCGGAGGGGCCGGGCAGAGCCGGGAGGAGCCGGGGGGAGCGGGGCCGGGGCCGGGGAGCTGAGGGAAGGAGGCGGCGGCGGCAGCGGGGGGGGGGCGGCGGCGGCGGCGGCGCGCTCGGGCCGGGGCCTCTACTCGCGGCGGCGCAGGGCGGCCATGGCGTGACGTCATCAAGACGCGCCGGGCCGCGCGCAAGGAGGGGGGGAGGGGAGGAGGGAAGCGGGAGAGAGGCCACGCCCCCATCCCGCTAGGCCACGCCCCCTTCAGGCTCTAACCACACCCCCTCATCGCCTGGCCACGCCCCCGTCTCGCTTGGCCACGCCCACTCACGCATGGCCACGCCCACTTATCGCACCGTCCCGCCCCGTCCCACCTGGCCACGCCCACCCCGCCCTGACCACGCCCCCTCCCCCGTATGGCCACGCCCCCTTTTAAAGGGGCACGCCCCTGGGGGTGCCCCAGTGAGCACGTGGGGGGTTACTGGGAGCACTGGGATGGTGCCTGGGGGTGTGGGGAGGGGCAGTCTGGCAGGGGGCAAGGGCTGCAGGCTGGTGCCGCCTCCCCAATGTGGTCTCGCCCACCCAAACTGGTCCCACCCTGCCCCCAAACTGGTCCCACCCTCCCCAAACTGGTCCCACCCCACCCCCAAACTGGTCCCACCCCATTATTGCCATCAGTTATATAGGGTGAGTGGGGCTGGGGGGGCACTGCTGGGAGCTGGGGGGTGGAGGTGAGGGGCTACTGGGATGGGATGGGGGGCTACTGGGATGGGGGGCTACTGGGGTGGAAGCTACTGGGGATGGGATGGGGGGCTACTGGGGATGGGATGGGGGGCTACTGGGATGGGGATGGGGATGGGGGCTATGGGATTGGGTGTGGGCTATTGGGATGGGGGCTATGGGATGGGGGGCTACTGAGATGGGGGGCTACTGGGATGGAGGTGGGGGGCTACTGGGATGGAGGTGGGGGCTACTGGGATGGGATGGGGGCTATGGGATGGGGGCTATGGGATGGGGCTGGGGGGCTACTGGGATGGGGGGCTACTGGGATGGGGGGCTACTGGGGATGGGGCTGGGGGGCTACTGGGCTGGGGGGCTACTGGGCTGGGGGGCTACTGGGATGGGGGCTACTGGGATGGGGGCTATGGGATGGGGCTGGGGGGCTACTGGGATGGGGGGCTACTGGGGATGGGGCTGGGGGGCTACTGGGATGGGGGCTACTGGGATGGGGGCTACTGGGATGGGATGGGGGCTATGGGATGGGGGCTATGGGATGGGGCTGGGGGGCTACTGGGATGGGGGCTATGGGATGGGGGCTATGGGATGGGGCTGGGGGGCTACTGGGCTGGGGGCTACTGGGCTGGGGGCTACTGGGATGGGGGCTACTGGGATGGGGGCTACTGGGATGGGCTGGGGGCTATGGGCTGGGGCTGGCTGTTGACCTCTCCCTGGAGCACAGGGGTTACCCTGGCCGGGTGGGTGCCCCTATATCCGTGCCCCCAGCCCCGGTGCCCCGTTGTATGGGGTCGGGGTGCGGCTGTGGCTGTGTCTCCACCTCCCCTTTGCCCCGGCGCTGACTCAGCCCCACGCGCCGCTTTGCGTAAGAGCCGCGCTGGCGGGGACGGGAACACCGAGCCAAAGGGCAGGCGCAACCCCTGCGGGGAAGGTGCGGGGCCGGAGATCCCAAACACCGCCCGGAGCTGAAACCCTTTTTCCTCCCCTCCGTACCCAGCGGGGCGCCGCGATGGATTACGCCAAATCCCTCAGCTTGCGCCTGGCCGCCCCCGTCTCCAAGTAAGCCGTGGGGTGGCACCGTGCCCGGGTCGGGGACATTGGGGTCCTCCCCGCTATGGCACCTCGGTCCCTATGGGGATTTGGGGTGCTGGAGGGTGTCGGGACCCCCCTGATGGTTTTGTCCCCCTCTCCCCAGATGCGTCTCCGCCAGCGCCTCGATGACCCAGCAGCTGCTGCTGAACCCGGCGCCGCGGCCCCGACCTTTTCGGGTTTGCAACTGGGACCGCAGCCTGCGCAAGGGCATCATGGCCCCGAGCCTCGCCGAGCTGCTGCGCCAGGTGAGCCGTCCGTCCGTCCATCCGTCCATCCATCCATCCATCCATTTGGGGTCTGTCCCTCACCCTAACCCCCCCACCCCACCCCAAAACAGGCTCAGAGCGCCCTGCTGGCCCCCGGCCCCGTTGTGCTGGTGCTGGAGGAGGACGGCACGGCGGTGGAGACGGAGGCGTTTTTCCGCACCCTGGAGGAAGGCGCCGTGCTGATGGCGCTGGCCAAGGGGCAGACGTGGGCTGCCCCCAAGGTGAGCCCTATGGGGTCGAGAATTAGGAACCCCCCCAATTATCCCAGCTGCGTCCCCAAAACGGGATCCGCGGGGGTACCTCGGGTACCTTTGGGATCCGCGGGGATCCGGCGCGATGCTGCGCCACGAGGGTGCCTCGGATAGCTCGGGGGGGGACCCTTTGGGGACTCCCGACCCCGCTGTACCCGTAGACCCCCGGCTACCAGCTGAGCCTTTCCCGCAAGCCCCCCCGGCGGATCGACGTCGCCTGCGTCACTTTTGACCTCTACAAAAGCAGCCCCCGGGACCTGGGCTGCCTCAACGTCAAAGCCACGCTCTACGGCACCTACAGCATGTCCTACGACCTGCGCTGCCGCGGCGCCAAGCGGCTCGTCAAGTGAGTGACCCCAAAAAGGGACCCCACAAGGGACCCTAAAACGCCAGGGGGTGCTCACCCAATTCCCCCCTTCCCCAGGGAAGCCCTGCGCTGGGTGCTCTTCGCCATGCAAGCCACCGGCCACGTGCTGCTGGGCACCTCCTGCTACATGGAGCAGCTCCTGGACGCCACCGAGGAGCCCAAGGAGGAGGAGAGGAACCCGGTGCTGCCCCGAGTCCTGCCCCGCAGCCTCCCCCCGCCGCCGCCATCCCCCAAAAAGACCCCGCAGTGAGGGCTGGGGTGTTTTGGGGGGTCCCCTGGAGCTGTGCCGGGTGGATGCGGCCACGTCTCCGCGGTAGCTGTTACTCTGTAAATATATTTATTTAAGAAAATTTGGTGCTTCTCCAATTTTCCTTCTCCGCGTCCTTTCCCCTCCCTGGCTGGAGGAATTAGGGTTTTTTTTTTTTTTTTTGGCTGCCCCCCCCTGCTTGGCACAGGGCTGGGCCAGGGGGTGGTGCAAGAGGGCACTGGGGTGGGGATGCTGGTGCAAGAAGCCCCCCGGGGAGCTGCTGCTGTAGGATTGCCCCAGGCTGGGGTGCCAGGAGGGATCCTTGCATCACTCTTTTTTGGGGGAGAGGTGGCCTTTTACCCCCCTACAAGGCTTGGGGGGGGCAGCTGGAGCCTCGTGCAGCCCCGTGCTGCCTCCTGGCCCCATGGGGACCCCAGATGCCCGGTGGCTCTGGAGCCACCCCGCACAGCTACAGCACATTGGGGTGGTTTGGTGTAATTAGGGTTTAATTACAGATAGTGGCTCAGCTGCTCATGTCCCCAGCCCCTTGGCCAGGGGTGGCCCCAAGCGGACTGCCCGGTGCCCCCCCCAGCCCCTGGGGAATGGGGACGTGGCTACCTCCTGCTGGTGCCACCGCAGCCACCGACCCCAAGCGCACCAGACCCCAAAACCACTCACCTGGGGCCCCCAGCCCAGTTTTGGGGCTCCGGCACAGGAACCCACAGCAGCTCCTCCCCTTCGTTAAGCAGCTAATTAACCAGCTGCCCCTCCAAGGGTGGGGGCTGCACCCTGGGACCCCCAGCCCTTCTCCCCCCCCCCAGGGAGGCGGCAGCGTGGCGGTGTTAGAGGGATTTATTTCTGTACACACGTATACACACAGCGCTCGCCTTCAGTGCTCTCCTGTCCCTGTAGTGTCTGCCCAGGGCAGAGCCCCCCCCCCGCCCCCCCCTTGCCTCAATTTCCCTGCAGCACCGGGTGGAGGAGGGCGATGGGGCTGAGGTAGGGGGCTTTATAGGGCCGGGGGGTCCGGCCCCCCCTGCCCACACCCCGATGTCTTCAGGTCCTTGCGCCTTGGATGCGCGCAAACCCCTCCATCCGCTCATCCCCACATCAGAGGGATTTGGGGCGAGGTCTGGGGGCACCCAAGGCTCCGTGGGGCCCCCCCTTAATCCTCCACCCCCCCAAGGGTCCACACGCCCCCTTTACCCCACTGCAGACTCCCCCCATGCCATGGGCACGGTGCTGGGCACTGCGCCTCTATGGACACCCCTCGGTCCGCGGGGTCCCCTGGCACAGCGGGCGCCCCCCTGGCTGCTCCTTTTCCCACAGGACCCCCCCCCCAAAAAAAAAAAAAAGCTGGGGGGGGCGGCACGCGACCCTACTTGACGTGCTCGGCCGCGTGGGACGAGCAGTAGTACTTCTTGTGCGCGATGAAGGTGGAGAGGCTGCTGAACTTGATGTTGCAGAGGCGACAGTACCTGTGGTTGCCGTTGGGCACGGGGCCGGCCCCCCCTTTCGCCGGGGGGGTCTGCACCCCCCTGTCCGTGTAGGCGGGGGGCGTGGGGGGCTGGCGGGGTGGGGGGCCCTCCCGCAGCGCCTCGGGGGCGGCGGGCGAAGCGGGGGGCCGGGGTGAGGCAGGGGGTCGGGGGCTGCCGTTGGAGGGGGGGTCCCGAACCTCCTTGCTGTTGAAGCTGTCCCGGCGGAGGCGAGGGGCGAGTGGGGGGTGAGGGGGCGAAGCGGCGGGGGGCTCGGGCGTCCTGCCGCCCCCGGGCGTCGGGGTTTCGGGGAGCCCGTGGCCGGCGGGCAGGGGTTTGGCCACGAAGAGCCCGTGGGCGTTACGGAAGTGCTCGATGAGGTCTCCCTTGACGGCCCCGTTGAGCGGGCAGTAGGGGCAGACGGAGAGGGGCACCTTGGCACCTTTGGGGTACCGCTGCAGCGAGTCCCCCCCCGACGCCCCGGGGTAGGCGGGCGGCAGAGCCAGCGCCTTGGGGGCACCCCCGGGGCTCCCCGTTGGCGGTGCCACCTTGTCCCCGTCACCGGTGCCGTCGTCGGGGCTGCGGCCACCCTTGAGCACGGCGGGCACGGCGCCCTTGATCTTCTGCAGGTGCTCCAGGGCGCCGGGCTGCAGCGGGGTGGCCGGGCACGAGTATTTCTTGTGGGCCAGGTAGCTGTCGAGGCTGTTGAAGCTGATTCGGCAAGCCGTGCACTCGTGGTAATCGGCCAGCGGCAGCAGCGGGGTCGCCGCCGGGGGCTCGCCTCGCCGCCGCGGCTTCTTGCTCAGGTCGATGGGGCCGTCGGCGTCGGGGCTGGAGCTGGGCGACGGAGCAGCAGCCCCCGGGGTTTTAGGGTCGGGAGCTGCCGGAGGGGCCGGTTCGGCCCCGTGGATCTCGTAGAGCTTGCGGCGTTTGCGGGTGCGGGGGGGTTGGGGTAGGAAGGGGACCTTGGTGAGGCCGGGGCGGCGCAGCGGCGGGTCGTGGCGCGAGGCGCAGTAGAAGCGCTTGTGCACCACAGTAGGTCTCGTGGCGGCTGAAGCGGATGTTGCACGCCTCGCACAGCGTCTTGCTGGGGTCCTCGTCCCCCTCGTCCCCCCCCGTGCTGCCGGGGCTCTGGCTGTCCTCGCTGCACCGCCCCGACGCCGCCTCCGCCTCGGGGGACCCCTGCTTTGCCCTCCTCCGGGGGGGCTGCTGGAGGTGGTGGCGGCGTGGCGGCGCGGCCCCCGTCCCCGTCTCCAGCGGGCGCCCCCTGCACCTCGCCCGACGCTGGGGCCAGCAGCGTCCCCGGGGGTGCCGCAGGACCCTTGGGTGCCCCGGGGGGGGCTTTGAGCTTGCGCACGCCGGGGGGGCTGTCCTCGGCTAGGTGCCGGCTGGAGCAGTAGAGGCGCTTGTGCACGTAGTAGTTGTTGATGTTGTTGAAGGTGATTTCGCACTCGAAGCAGGTGGCGCCTTTGGGCACCGGCGCGCCAGGGAAGAGGGCGGGCGGCACGGCGCCGTGGCCCTGCTTCAGCCGGCTGTGCACCAGCTCCGACATCTTCGCCAGGATCTCCGACGCCTGCGGCACCACGGCGGCGGCGGCGGCCTCGTGGCCGAAGAGGTATTGGGGCAGGAAGACGGTGCCGCCCGCCGTGCCCGCTCCCGGCTCGCTGGGCACGGGGCTGGAGCCCGGCGTGGGGCTGGCGAGCTCCGACTTCACCTTCCCCGCGGGGAGGCTGCGGGGGGACGAGGCTCGGGAGCCGGCTTCTGGCTCCGAGCCGGGGCTGCCGGCCCCCTCCCCGGTTTCGGCGCCTCCGCCTCGCTCAGCGGGCTGTCGGCGGGCTCCTCCTTGATGCGGACGGGCTCACCGGAGGAAGAGGAGGAAGAAGAGGAGGAGGAGGAGGAGGATGGTCCCTTCACCGGCAGGGGGCTTTGGCCTCGCCGTTCTGCGCCTCGGAGGCCGGGGGCCCTGTTGTGGCGTCAGGGGGCGATGCGGGCTGCGGGGGGGCTTCGGGGCCGGGCAGGACGGCGGGCAGGGGGCCGTGCAGCACCACGTGCTGCGGCAGGGCCGGCAGCCCCTCGGGGAGGAAGGCTGGCAGGCTGCACTTCAGCACGGGCGGGTTGTTCGGCTGGCTCAGCCCTGCCAGGGGGGGGAAAAAAGGTGTTAAAGGAGCTGGTGGGGGCTCCGAGCATCCCACCCCGTGGGGACGCAGCCCTCGGTGGGGGTGCTGGCACGCGTCCCCATCCCGTACTCACCGGGGGCGAGGGGTTTGGCGTTGGGCAGCGCCGGTGCCGGCGAGTACACCTCTCCCTTGGAGCCCGGCTGGCAAATCATGTGGTTGGTGACCAGGTGGCTGTAGAGGATGTCCCGCGTGGTGGAGATGAAGCCGCAGCTGTGGCACACGCCTGCGAGGGATGCAGGGGCATGGAGGGGACGTGGGGACCCCGTCCCCGTCGCCGCCATCCCCCGGTGCCGCCGTCCCCAGGACCCGCAGGGCTTGGGTGGCCCCGACTCACCGTTGAGGGTGTCGGTGTGCACCTTGAGGTGCCGCTCGCAGTTGGCTTTGGTGGTGAAGGCGGACAGGCAGATCAGGCAGACAAACGGCCGCTCCCCTGCGGGACAGACGGGCGGACAGCTCAGCACCGAGGGACGGGGACCGCGGGGACACCCCCTGTGCCCCAACCAACACGCGGCAACCCCGCTCCGAATTTACGCTTTGCAAGCGAGCACCAGCTGCAGGGCGCTGCCCCAAACTGGGGGGGGACCCTCCTCTAACTGGTGACCGCACAACCTCCCCGCCCCTCGGTGTCCCCGTGCCGTGCCGCACCGCTGTGGCTCCGCATGTGGATTTCCAAGGAGCTGGCGCTGGGGCAGCTCTTCTTGCACTGCGGGAAGGGGCAGACGCGCTCGTTGGGGTACGTCTCCTTGGGCTTCTCGTCCACGGCGGGCGAGCCCGAGCTCTGCCGGCTGGCGCAGTAATACATCAGGTGGGCTTGAAGGTTGCGCTCGCTCCGGTACCAGATCCCGCAGTCCTTGCACGGGAAGACGTCCTCTGCGGAGGGAAGGGACGGGCGGGAGGGGATGGAGCGAGCGCGGGGACGCTGCGCCCCGCTGGGCGGCCGGGGACCCCTCAACCAGCGTCGCCCCGAGCCCCCGCCGTGCCCCCCAGCCCCGGGGACTCACTGTTGACCACGGCGGTGGCCAGGATGGCTGCCATGCCGGCCTGCTGGGGCAGCAGCTGGATGTCGGAGTGCAGTGGGGTTGTGTAGGGTGCGTCTCCAGGCTCGGTTTTCAGCGCCTGGCTGGGGATGGCCGGCGGCTCGGCCACCACGAAGGCGCACACGGGCTCGGCCTCCCGCACGGCGCGCGTGGTCCTGCACCACACGGCTTCATCTGGATATTGGGGGGGGGGGGGAGAAAAGGCGAGCGGTTAGCGGGACCCCCACCCCCGGATCGTGGTGTCCCCAAAAGCAGCTCTGGCTGCGTTCCCCTGGCTGTGGCTTAGCCCCGGCTCGCCTGGAGGTGGCGGTGTCAGCCTGCGCCTGAGCCGCGCTGCCTGGCACAGCCCTGGTGCTGCCAAGGGTGCTCGTGCCCGGTCCTGCACCAACGCCTGCAGTACTGAACCATGCACCGGTG